AGCCTAAGAGTAAAAATTATTAAAATAACTTCTGTTAAGTGTTCCCATGGTTACATAAAAATGGTGAAACTTGGCAAAAGTTATGAAATTATAAATTGTACATGTCTTGTTACAGGGATGTATTAGGAATTTGACTATAGTATTTATACAGGGATGTATTAGGAATTAAGATTATTCAGGGATGTATTAGGAATTTGATTATAGTATTTTTACAGGGATGTATTAGGAATTAAGATTATTCAGGGATGTATAAAGAATTGTCCTGGGCTCCGTTCCTCAAAGTGATCGTAGCGCTACGACAGTCGTAACGCCCATACTTTAACATAAGACTTATGACTGTCGTAGCGCTACGATCTCCTTGAGGAACGGGGCCCAGAATTTGCATGTCCTATCGTTTCATAAATTGACAGGTATTTCAATGTATGTTATTTGTTTTATACTTAATGGTTTTCAGTGAAACACAAGACACCTTTGCAGAGCTAAAACATAACCTTGATAATAACAAGAATAACATGAAAATTGTTGCAGTAATTTAGTGTAATATATAGACTTTATTTATTCATTAATGACATGATCTACAGTATAGACCAAAATACAGTACAACAACGTAAAGCAAAATATGAACTTAATTGATCTGATCCATTTTAGGTTTCAATAGTATTTTCTACCTTTTTAGTGCCTATATGAAGCTTGCAGCTGAGGATTTCAACCATGACTGCATGATAAAAATGTCGCACAAGCTGTGGATTCACTATCAACTTCCTTTCACATCTGTCAACAAATTGTATGCAAGTATTGACCAAGAAGCCAAAACATTTCTGAAGTGGTTTTGCCATGAGTTGTTTTAGCAGTTGTGAATTTGCAGATGATTCCGTAGGTTTAGTCACGTTCAGATATTTCAGGGACTGATACAATAGTAACATAAACATGATGGGCACATAACATGACTTCAACACTGACATGGATACATGTACGTTTCTGTCGCTGCATGTACTAGCAAATGGAATGTTTCAAAGCAGAAACATGCAGCATGTATGTAATGCATTTGACACAGTTGTTTATTTTTTCCTGAATTGTTTCAAGATACACTACACCATGGATCCATTTTGTTTCCTATTTAATACTAACACGGCTTGATACTGACCTGTTAAAGGTTGGACTCCCCAATTTTCTTGATAAAGGAAAGATTTGTTTGTTTGTTATTCAACACCTCAATCAGCAATATTCCAACCGCCTCCGTGGTGTAGTGGTTAGAGCGCTTGACCGGAGAGCGGAAGGTTGTGGGTTCAATCCCCTACCGCGTCATACCAAAAGACGTTAAAATATGGTACTTGTTGGTCCCTGCCTGGTGCTCGGCATTAATGGGTACAACAAGGACTGGTCGGCTTGGAGTCAGTATAATGTGTCTGAGTGGGGTATTCATGCTTCACTGCGGTATGGTATCTCAGTGGGCTAGCACTATAAAACCAGCTTAAGTCTGGGCTAGTACAAGCAGCCGCACATCCACATCCACACGCATGCATGTCGTCATATGAGCGAAATATTCTCAAGCACGACGTTAAACCCAATTTCACCTCACCTCATCAGCAATATTCCAGTTATATAATGGCAGTCTGTAAACAATCAAGTCCAGACCAGACAATCCAGTGACATCATAAGCATTGATCTACACAATTGGAATACGACATTCACCAAAAAGGTCAGAGAGCCTGTGTATATATATCTCAGAGGTGTAAAACATGTTAATCAGTTAATGTTAGATCACTATGATCAATGTTATGAAAATCAGAGTATTAAACATTTTAAAGTTTTAATGAATCATTGATCATGTGGACTGATGGGTGAAATGATGCATGCAACTGCTCTGAAAGAAACAACCAAACACTTAGCAAAGTCATAGATGTGTTGTGGCTACAATGAATAATATTTTACGCCCATCTAGACGCAGTGAATGTTTCTTATGCATCCATTTTCTACATTTGTACGTACTGGACATACATTTGCGCGTCCAGTAAAACCCTGACATGAATAGAATCTCTGACAAAGTGATGTTGACAGGTCTGCCATGATCAAACAAAGGCTTGCCTGTGGTCAACAAGGACCTTCTAGCTTAACTTAAGAAGATAAAGATGTGAGGGTCAGGGGTCAAGACATATTCCTCAGCGCACACCAAACTCACAGTTAAAGGTTTATCCCACTGAGTCAGTAGACATTCCTGTTTTCTGTATGTGCTAAATGGAATGGGAAGACTTTGATAAGACTTGTGGGAGGAAATGTCCTGGTGTAGGGGGAACAGCAGTAACATGTGTTGTGGACATGGTTGTTAGTCCCTGAACAACATTATTTCCCTACTGCCTAGCCCTTCCTGCAATGCTAAGGCCAAAATGAAGCGAGTCTCACTGGAGCTCCTTTTTAATTCAAATAGGTACATTTGTTACTATCAAAATTATACATATTCAGAAACAAAGTGTTAGTCTGGGGGAACAGCATTAACATGTGTTGCAGACATGGCAGACCTTCAGAATTAAAGGGGGTCAGGTGGTTGAGGCCAGCATGTTTGGTTTAGAGGTATGCCACAAAGATTCAGCATTAAACAATAATGTTAAGACCATTATAAAAAGGATGTTATAACTTATGGCTTATTTTATAACACTATCAGATAACTGGGGATGGGAGAGAATGATCTTTCTTCACATGTTCATCATAACTTCTGAGAATGTGATGTACTACTTGTCGGTGATGTTAGTTGATAAACATCATAGACATCATACAGGTCACTTTCATTATCATTTTTAAAATGTTTGACAAGAATATAACTCATAAAACTCCTGGTTCATTGAACAGGTTGAATAATTAAAATATTGCACAACATTTTGAAAGTAATTATTTCAAAAGATATTTTCACATTGAACAGACTGTAATAACAAACAACTTAGTATTAAACATGTTAAATGCTGTTCCTATCTATTCGTCCAGCTATCGGTGAAGAGGAAGTCACCTCGACCACACCTTAACATTGTTAAGGTGAGACAGGTATTTCGGAATTTCAATTCAAAAATTTTCAGACACATGATATATACCTCATATTGGACACTCAGTACCATTTCACAGTATCAACATTCAAATATTTCAGTGAACTGTTCCAGAAAATATACAGTTCTGGTGCATAACCTGTACACAACTCTGTGACACTGTCTGTGTGGTACTACTGGTACTACAACATAGTTGATATAGCCCTATATTACCTGACCAAGGCATCAAGCTACTAATTGTGAAACAATGTTCTTCCACACAAGTGTGACAAGATGGTATAAAGGAACTGCTCTGTTTGTGCACACAATATATCATATGATTAAGGGGATAAAGTACATTTTTGTGCCAAAAAGAACATTTTGAAGCAGATTAAATGTAAAACCAGTTCTAAGGTAGAAATACATTTCTTTTGAGGGGTCAGATAGGCTATGTTTTGCATGTTCTTACTGAACATGCCTTGAACATCTGTTCAATGTTATTGTTAGATTTCTGAAAATATATACACTGGAGACCATATAAAATTGGGTCCTGTAAAACTTAGACAAGTTACAGGTTTTTGTGGACTACTACTTTTATAAGGTGACAAGTTTAAGCATTAATAGGACAAGTTGAAAATATAATGTATTTCCTAACCCTGCCATGTGTCCAAATACCTGTGAAAATGAGTGAGTGAGTGAGTTAGAATTTAACGTCACCTCGGCAATATTTCAGCCATATAGTGACGAGAAATGTTTTACATAAACAATAAAGTAAAGTTGCTAAATAATCAGTCATCGAAGGACTGTAAAATAACTAGAGTATCACAGATGGAGTCTAAAACTAGCATGAACATGTAAAACTATTATATTTACGAAGACAATACAATATAAAAACGGGCTATAGATCGCCAACAACTGAAGGTAGATCACCATACTAGGAACCATGGGGACTTACATTACTTTTGCTACCTGCATGGACCCTAGCTGGATTTACACCATCCCTTCAGCTGTTGGCGATTGTAGGAAAATTTAGCCACAAATTAAAATGACAAGAATACTACTTTTAAAAACACAGGACGTGAAAATTTTACTTTGAAAATGACCCCAACAGGACTCATTGTTAGAATATTGGTTACAGACAACCTGTTGTCATTCGTGGCAAGGATAGGTTGAGTTTGCCCCAGTGACCTGGTTCACTGTGAGGATTCGTACTTTGGTGGCGTTGGATGTTGCTCATACTATCAATCACATGTTTCTCAGGTCCAGACTTTACTATTAACAAGAGTTCTTAGTTTGAAGTTTTCAAGTAATAAAAATGAAATCAGCACTTACTCTGACAATACACTTAAGAAGCCTTAGTGATCCCACCAATGACAAGTAAGAACAGGGAACCTTTTCAATATGTCATGGGATAAAAATGGCACATAATATTTCCAAGTATTTACAGTTAATATTATAGATTGTTGTTACAAATGACGTGACACTGAAGAAATTTTTGCTTAGTAGCAAGTGTCTGTTCACTTCATATCTATGTGCACACTGACAGATATACAATATTCTTTGAACAAGATATGTGTATAATTAGACAAATAACTTTTGATGGTTGTGTCTCTTACGAAATGATTAACATAAATTTGCTGCTATTACACAATATGCACTGATGAAATGCGTTTACACACAATTCCACGGATTAATAGGTTCGTTACAATTCCAATCACATTTTTTATGCCAGTTGGGTCTTCTGTGTAAAGTATTTATTTAATTAAAACCAAATTCCTAATAAATTACTAATAATTAAGTCCACAACATACCATGGTATCTATGTACCACAAATATTGCATGTCACCCACTGTCATGACTAGTCAAGCATGTCATCGCCTGTTACTGTGTTACGAGCATGTGAGGTGAAACTATTTATACATCATGGTGTCTTTATTTCAAATATTTGACACGGAAGAGGCGAACGGATATCGTGTCAACAACACTTACCTGTATTGATGTGGCTATCGACAATCGTACTTCCCGCGTAAGCTGTGGAATTGAGCAGGTTGTAGTGAATTACCCGTATTCAGCACACGTTTAGGATTTTCCTGGCAAACCGTCCAAGTCAACAATTACAGGTGCACCTTCGGAACAGCACTGCGCGCGTTCATACCTCGCCAGAAGATTAAGTACTTTGCACACGGCACTCTGCGAAAGCAGTTGACTGGGAAAAGCTTCATTCTTTGTGTGGTAGATAAAACAGTTTTCAGTATCAACGTGTCTTTCATTATTGCAACGGTTATAACTAGATCGATGTATGCTTTCTTTAATTAAGAATTATGGATTTACATATGTATTGGGACATAATCCCAACAGGTGCACGGCAATTTGACAGACTGGTTCTTGCCGTAAATCACGCTTGCGCACTGCAAAGCAATAGGTGAATTGTGTTACTTATCCGATAGAAGCAAATGTTTTGACGGGAGTACTGCACTTTACCGGGCGCACTTTTTCAGATTAATTAGCGCCGCTGGGTTTCCCTAACCCTAACCCATATCCCTAAGGATCGTAAAGGGTGGCATACCCTAACCCTAACCCTAAGGATCGTAAAGGGTGACATACCCTAACCCTAACCCTAAGGATCGTAAAGGGAGCAGCGAGGGCTGCGCCCGGTAAAGTGCATTCTAAAATACAGGATGACGCCTGTAATAATAATGTTTTGGCATACATTATATTACACCACACCCACACGTTCATAATTGAGCGTATCCAGGCACAGAAATATGTCGAAGGCAATAAAGTTTCATGTGAATCAGTCACAGCAGGTGCAAACCTGTTTTCTGTGGGATACAAATATTATTTAAAACACAATACGCATTTGATCTGTTGTAAATGTAAATCAAATAACTCTGTATTACCTGGAGTGATCGTTGAATTCATTGACAAACAGACATTTAGAAATGCCTTTTATACAAAGACTTGTGTGGTGGTACAGTAGCGTCATGCATGTATAGGTTATATTTGCCTAACTGCAAGGGGCCTTGGGTGTGACTTGCATAGTCATTATGAATATTACGCAGTATGCATGAAACACTAACATGTGTATGGACCAGCAACGTTTACTGCAGGCCCGGATGATTGTTTACGTCAGTCAGTAATGTTTCTGCTGAATATCACAGCGGCCTGCAGATATAAATATTCAAATCCGGAGAAGATGACTATTATACGAATCAGCTTTGTGAATCATGGAAAGATAAAAAAATATCAATATTGGTTTGTTTGTTTGTTGTTTAACGCCGCACTCAGCAATATCCCAGCTATATGGCGGCGGTGTGTAAATAATCGAGTCTGGACTAGACAATCCAGTGATCAACAGCATGAGCATCAATCTACGAAATTGGAATACGATGACATGTGTCAACCAAGTCAGCAAGCCTGACCACCCGATCCCGTTAGTCCCCTCTTACGACAAACATGGGTTACTGAAGACCAATTCTACCCAGATCTTCACGGGTCAATATCAAAACCGGAGTAGTAAACCAGGATTTCATTCGGACAGACGCAGAATACCAGAAATAGGCTTCACATATTGTACCCATGGTGGGAATCGAACCTGTGTCTTCGGCATGACAAGCGAACGCTTTAACCCCTAGGCTAATATCTATTGCTAAAAACGGAGTAAAACCATACTCACTCACTCTATGTTATAGGCCGGCATGATCTTAATTAATACTGTTGAGGTCGACTTTCAACTCTGCCTCACCTGGCCCCGTGAAGATCCGGGTTAGAATTAGTCTTCAGCAACCCATGCTTGTCGTAAGAGGCGACTAAAGGGATCGGGTGGTCAGACTCGCTGACTTGGTTGACACATGTCATCCTATCCCAATTGCGTAGATCGATGCTGATGCTATTGATCACAGGATTATCTGGTCCAGACTCGATTATTTACAGACCGCCGCCATATAGCTGGAATATTGCTGAGTGTGGCGTAAAACAGCAAACCAAACCAAACCAAACCTGCCTTACCTGGCCTTTCGGGCAAAACATCAGTACCCGGTCACAAACGACAACGAAGGCGCCTTGACCCGTGCTATGCCTAGAAGAGTTGTCTCTCTTGGAATTCTCTTTACCTTTTCATATTATTATTATGCTCAAGCTTTACATACTCCTCACACAAAATAAGCAACAAGTATTTTCAGTGTAATATCTTTATCAATCTCGATAGCGATTTTTGTCGACATGTTACTGAAAGGTAAATATTCAAAGAATACATAACCTTTAGTGACTGACAAATTGATTTTTCTGATAACATTGACAACATCACCCGAACACAACCACCATCAGAAACAACATTCAAAATGTGTGGCATGAATGTGCTCCACTCTTCACACATGCACCATGATCGGTGTAAACCTACCTGTAATCATTCCTTTGGTACAACAAGCGGGTCCTAACTTCATTTTGTATGGATGATAACGCCCGTCCATGGATGATAATGCCTTTAGATCAACAACATCACACATATGGACTGGCCTGCAAGGTCACTTGATTTGAATCCCATTGAACATGCTTGGGACATTGTTGGAAGTCGTGTTTACGGTCTCCATGTTCACCCCCAGACTCTGGATGACCTTGAGCAGGCGTTACAGAGAGAATGGCAGAACATTCCACAACAGCAACTTTAAAGGCTCATTTGGTCAATGCAAAGACGTGTAGAAGCTTGCATTTGTGCTCATGATGGTCATACACGTTACTGAACACTGCTTCACTGTCCAAAACTGACTTGAACCTTAATGTTAACATTTTGCTCCATCAATGTGGCACAATTTGCACGACTGTTTCATGGGGACATGCTTTTGATGATTTGTAAGTCTATTATTGCTCAATACCATTTCATTTTGTTAATCGTGTGTACATATGTTTCACCTTTCTATTCCACCATTCCATGATTTGCAATTTCAATAAATGAAAATGTAATGAGACTGGTTAACTTTTTGTGAGGAGTATATGTTGAGGAACTGAGGGCGCCAGGACGAATTTGACATAACCGTAATTAAGGATAGTATATATTGGCGGTTAAAGTACAAGTCATAAATATTTCCAAATATGTCAACAAGGAAATGTTTCCTTTATCGACGTGAGTGCAATTGCCTAGAACTAAATCAGCTCTCGGTGGATCAGGATACCATGATAAGATCTTCCGCCAGCTATAGGAAGTTATTGGAGCTAAGTATTTATCCCATTTCATCAGAAATGTACTTTTCTTCGAACCACTATAATTCAAATTTTCTGCACTTTGAAATAAGTGATCTCAAAAGGAACTTTTGCACTGAATATCTATTTACCATTGAATTATTTTAATTTTGATTTTGGAAACATTATTATACATCATACTGTAATAGAGGCTTGATCAGTCTCTATATTCTTCTTCTCATTATTATCATAGGCGGATCCAGGTGTGTGTGTGTGTGTGTGTGTGTGTGTGTGTGTGTGTGTGTGTGTGTGTGTGTGTGTGTGTGTGTGTGTGTGTGTGTGTGTGTGTGTGTGTGTGTGTGTGTGTGTGTGTGTGCAGGGGTGCGCACACCCCCTTTTGTCCTGAAAGTTTTTTAAATGACCTTTGAAACGCTCGTGAAAATGAAGTGTGCACCCTCCTTTCTCAATAGTGTGCACCCCCAGGGCGTAGGAACGGTTTTCAGAGAGGGGGAGGCTAATTTATGAAAAGTATTGAAAATCAAAATAAAATAGTAGTTATGGTAAGGTAGGTATGGTTTCGTCTTGAAAACACGGGGGCTTAAGCCCCTCTGCCCTGTTCCTACGCCCCTCCCCCCACCCCTTTCTCAAAAGCTGTGTCCGGCCCTGATTATTATAATCATAATACATGACAATATATACGCACACACATATTGTATTATACAATATTAACAATAAAATTGCTAATATTGTATATGACAATATGTGTGTATGTGTTAAATTAATGTCCTCCAATATACTACTAATAAATTTGGTATATTTTGATGAATGTATGCAGTAGGTACGGGGTAAAGAATAAAATTAAAGCAAAGTACTAAAACTGATGATAGTTCCTTTAAAGTTGAAAGATGTCCTGATGTCAAACTCAATGGCATAATGCCCAATAGCCCATTACCTAATACACGGAAGTACTCAAAGGCTTGAAGCATTGAGAACAATTTTACGCCCACACACCACGTGACCACAAATCTACTACTGAGACACACTGAGGGAAATGTAATTGAAATGACTTTTCTTCGAAAGCTTGCATAGCTGTTAAATTACTATTACTATTGAAGTAGATTTTACACACCACGAGTGAGTGATTGAGTCTTTTTACAGTATTTCAGTTTTATCACCAAGTGTCAGTGTATGAGAGGGAAACAAGAAGTGATACATTTGGGGCTATTATTGCAAGGTTGGTTTGGTTGGTTTGTTGTTTAACGCCGCACCCCGCAATATTCCAGCTATATGGCGGCGGTCAGTACATACTCGAGTCTGGACCAAAAATCCAGTGGCCAACAGCATGAGCATCGATCTATGCAATTGGGATACAATAACATGTGTCAACCAAGTCATCGAACCTGACCACCCGATCCTACTAGTCGCGACAAGCATGGGTTGCTGAAGATCAATTCTAACCCGGATCTGCACGGGTCTATTCTTGCATGGAACTTTGTAAGCCCTGATCCCAGTGCAGAGCTCGTGAAATGAAAGCACGCGCGTGAGTGCGTGCGTACGTGTTTGTTTTTGTTTGTTTTGTGTTTGCTTTTTGTTTACAGTGGATGGGTTAACTCAGATAAAACAGCCCCTGAACAGACAATAAGCACAGTAAAGCGGGATATACGACACCACATCACAACAAGGGTCATAATAGCACAACTACTCAGACCTCATCTAGTTATTTGGTACAAAACGCATTGTGGCTGCTGGGAGTTTATTTTCCACTTACCTCGTGGGATATCAGCGTTATTTTAACAGGTCCCATTGGGATCAGATGGTCAGGGTCGGGGACTTGCCTGACTGCGCGTCACAGTAAACCGACGGCCAGGATCGTTTTCATAATATTGATCCCTGATTTGTCTGGTCCAGACTCAGTTATTTACAACCCGTGAAGATCCGGGTTAGAATTGATCTTCAGCAAACCATGCTTGTCGTAAGAGGCGAGTAACCGGATCGGGTGGTCAGGCTCGCTGACATGGTTGACACGTCATCCCAATTGCGTAGATCGATGTTTCTGGTCCAGACTCAATTATTTAAAGACTGCCACCATATAGCTGGAATATTGCTGAGAGGGGCGTTAAACAACAAACAAAACAAACAGTTATTTACAGGCATACATCATAAGTATTTCTGAGCGTCGTCTAACAAAAGATACATTGAGACAAGAAGCAAATCAATTACAGAGTGGCGTGTATCACATGGCGGATTGAACTCACCGTCACTTATGAATAAACTATCTTTTGTATAGAGGTAAAAAATATACTTACTTGTAGTTTTTCCTCATTCCTGTTGGCGAAACGTGTGTTATAATGTATACATTTAAACTTTATATATGTGTAATCATTCCTCGAGTTCTGTGAATTGTAAATGTGAAATAAGAACTAAATCGCACAGCCTTGGGTTTTGTTTCATGGCATGACACAGAACGTTTCCGGGTTAGAGGAAGCTGTGCGAACAATGCCAAACCAGATAGAAATAGAAAGAGGAAGTAATTGCTCCTTCATAGCAAAGGACAACTAAATAACATTTAGAATCGTATCTGGTGCCTTTTAGAAATCTTATGAGACTTACAGAAGCTCTGGTTTAAGTCCATGCACAGAGCATACGTACCATGCACGTATGTTGTGCTCTTAAACACTTAAGACCATTGTATGTTTAAGGGCACAACACACGTACCACAACCGGATATGAGTGAGTGAGCTTTGTTTTACGCCGCACTCAGCAATATTCCAGCTATATGGAGGCCAACTCGATATGAAGAGATGGACACCACGAAGTATAGTACTTGAAATCCCAAATGTAAATCTACCATGTAAAACAAAATGCAACTGGGGATACTTTAGAAATGTGTGGTTTGTATCATCAGGAAGAATGGACTTATGGGCAGATACATGTTTGAGAAAATGTTCAATGTCGTTTTGTCATAAACATTCAAACTTATATATAGCTTATTCTACATACATCGTCTGGATTATCAGGGTTACACTTTAAATTTGTGAGTTATACATTTTCGGCATTCAGGCGTTTCGAGTCACGTGGCATACAGATTTACTATTTAAATAAGGAACTATTCGACTGGAAGATTGTAATAGAGAAACAAAGTTGGTTCTGACCAAATCACGGTCCACCATTTCGATCAAGTTATTTAATTCAGTTTCTAATACACCTTAGAACTGAGAGTAGACTCGAAGTTCTGTGTTTTACACAGACTATTTTCAGACTGACACAGTCAGCCAACGGGCCTGAAATGTAATATTTGGATGAAGAATAATCCGAACATGCCAATACTATACTCCCAAAGTCACCACAAATGGGCTTCACACATTGTACTCATGTGGGGAATCGAACCTGTCTTCTCCGCATGATCACTGTTCCATCACTATACATGTAACATGTAGGGGGCACTATCTCTGCACTGTTTCCACTTAATAAAAACAAAATGACTCAAATGCAATAAGTTTATTTCATAGAAAATCACATGAACATGTTGACACTGCTATTTCTGGAAGATCCGGACTTAAGCCGCCATACCAGGGTGCCTTGTACAAAGCGATCTTAGCGCTAAGTTTACTGTAACTCCCATTCATTAACGTAGACTTAAGGTAGCCTTAGCGCTAAGGTTTTGTACAACGGCACCCAGGACCAGTTTGCAGAGCATTACACTCAAAATAAGAGTAAAACACTTCACATGTACATCAGTTCAGTATCTGAGATCATCTTGATGTTAGTAATCACAAACAATAGTTGTATAACAGTTTAGGTATTTACAAAATGGAGCTATTCCAAATAGATACAACGTATTTTACAATCATTGTGAAAGACAGAACACTGTTGACAGATTTTTTTTTTTTTTTTTCTGTTTCAAAGAGGCAGTCAACATTATTCCAGCAAATCAAACCAGTGGTTGACATCGTGGGCATTCTTCCTGGCTGTGTTTAAGTCACATCCATACTATTGTAGATGACAATCATGAGCATCTCATGAGCATGATTAGTCTGGAACAACTGAAGAGACAGCAGTCATGCAAAAAACACATTCATGAATAAATTGGACAATAATATTAAACTGACATAAAGAAATAAAGCTATCTTAATATTGAAAAATATAAAAATATATATGTTTATGCACAAGACAAATCCAGATAGAGCCCAGAATAATCCTTAATTCCTAGAGCTGTGGCAATCCACACTTGCCAAATCATTCTACACTTGAGTAAAACTCCTGTTTAATTTATTCTCTTGTATCAAAGAGATAGACAACAATTGAATGAAAAAGATGACATGTAATGCAAGACAACATGTACAAATAAATACCTTAACAGTAGAAGACACAGAACAAGGTTAGGCTCATTACATTCAGATGTTTACTCCGATAAAATAGGTCTGTTGGGTGAGCTGATAACACCTGCAGATTGCATCAGGTGAAGTTTCAAATTAGTCAGTCAGTGTGAGGCTCCTAAATTGTTGCTGAGTGAGTGAAGCAAGCAGCATGTTTCATATGTGTATTCCAAAATCCATCATTATTAGGAAGTCCTAATAGCTAAAAAGCTGCATAATGAAATAGTTGTTTATATTTCAAAGAACCTATTAGATCTCTTGGCCTCATCACTAGAGTACATGCTGTATACCACACAACATATCTTCTAACAGTGTAACTCAAACAACTTAGCCTACTTACTGCATCTGATTTATCGCACATGATGAACTTGTCTAGGTCCAATGATATATTGTTTACAGTAAATTATGTACCCTGAACATGTACAACCAGAGTCAATATACTGTATTCCTCCATGACCCATGAATACATCACATTTACCAATGTGGAGAAATCTATGTGCTGACTAATCTCCAGCCAAATCCACTGAGGAGTGAATGGTGGCATTTTAGACAACATGGCCAAATGTACCAGCATCAGTCCCACAAGAATGTGTCCTTATACCGTACAGTATTCATTTTAACATCTGCCTCCTGTAAACCAAGTGACAGTATTTAAAGATAGTGTATTACAATAAAAAATCAAATCCATTTTGTTTGTAAGTAGTAGACATTAGGGCTGGACTGGGTAGAAACTATGCGTTTGTTTACCTGAAGTAGCATTACCAAAGCCAGGTACATGTACCAGTTACAGCATTATTTTGAGCTAACTCCCTTACTTATGTGAACTTAATTTCTTACAGATCTTATATTAGCTTCCTCATAAATTTGAAATTCCAAGAATTTGTATGCTACACCGTACTTTACAAAAGATATCATTAAAAAAATATTGGTAAACTAGGTTATTGTGGTGTTCATTCATGGATTAAAAATGTTCAAATGATTTCACTTCAAGTGGCTCGTCAATGACAGCATGATGAGTTAAACTATGATAGGCGGGGACTGATTGAGAGGAACAACCATTGACACTGTAACACAAAGCCATATATAGAACAAGCAATTTTGTCGAGCTCATTATTAAAGAATGGATTTAAACTGTAGGTTTCGTTCATAATTTTGCAACTATGAATTTACGTAATGTATCAGACAATTAGTTACACATGACAAATCACATGACAAAACGGGTCTGGTAGTTTATGCAGGATCTGGCTGTGAAAGTCCCGGGTACTCTGGTGACCCAATCCAGCCCTAGTAGATAATTCATAAATTGTGTAGAAATACATAAATTCATGATGCAAGCATCACAATAACATATCAACGGTTAAGTAGACATGGTAAACAAAAAAAAGAAACAAAACACAAGAGGTGGGTTGTAATGGACATGGTACAATTAAAATCAATGAATTCATGCAAATTGCACAGAATTATCACATGATGAGTCTAAGGTACAATCTAAGGTAACAATATTTGATATACAAATTATGTCTTATATATTCAGGTAGGTCTTCTCAATCATTCATCATTTAAAAAAGTTCAACTTGGGGTCAAACAAGTTTTTGGAGTTTAAGTAGAACAAAATGTCTTTCAGCCATGAATATTTGAGTCTGAATCAGAATGTCACAGTCACCAGGGTGCTGTTGTACAAAACAACCTTAGTGCTAAGACTGTCATTAGTCTATGTTAAGGTATGGGAGTTATGATTACCTTAGGGCTAAGGTGGTTTTATACAACCACACCCATATAAATAACCAGACATAACTAACTGAAATGTATCACACAGAAATTAACCATGACAAGTTGTGCCTAAGAAAACATGATATGGTAATGTTCAATATTGATAAAATAAATGTTAAATAATGAGAATATCACACAAAGAAATTGTTAAAAATGATATAAATCTGGGGTCATGCACAAAAACTGCGAAAAAATCCCCAAACACAGAAATTTATATATAAGTCTGAGTAATAAAATGTCCATGGACTTTGGAGTATGTCATAGTTTGCTGAGCTAGAAAAGGTTTATGAGCTGCAGCATTCTTAGCAGACAATTGACAAATGTGACACACGGCTTTCTTCTGTTCCACTTACATGGATAACTTCTTTGAGTGGCATTTAGAAGTTGGTGTGATGAACAATGGGTAGAGTTCTACGGATATACAACTTCTTTATTATTAATATGAGCAACGTTTCGGTGTAGCTAATGACACTGTTATCAAGCAAGTTCCACACAAGTGATAATCACTTGCTTGACAGCGGTGTTAATATTAATAATAAAGAAGTTGTATTTTCATAAACTCTCCCCTGTTATTCACTTACAAGGATGTCTGTTGATCTGTATCTTGCTTACTGAACTTATAATAATGCATAATCTGTCTGAATACCTGTACTTTAACAAAAGGCTGAGATCTAAACAAATGATGTCATGTTTGATTTTTATGGAAACTCAGCCAAAAAGCAAAAACTTTTACAAATACATATTCTCATATGCACATTTCTCATCAGTCATACATATTTCTTGAGTAATCAATAACGCTTACACATTCGATCAATACATACATGGATTTATCTAGGATTCCACACAAAGTAAGAATGGCAGTCAAGTTGGATAAAATATTTATTTAGTTCAAAATAGAGATATTATTGTTAGTCTTCATTGGTCCTGTTATCACATTACTTATATCCATATTAATAATCACAATATAACTATTTCTACTGACAGTTTCTACAGACCTGGGGCTAAATATTGGCCTATGAGCAGGTCAAGATAAATCCAGGAAAAGTTTTGACATCTTATCAAATCTTTGTCATTATATCATCTGTATATATTGATTAATATTCTAAGTTAGCAAGGTATCTTCTCATTAAGGGTACTGACTAGTACAATACTATTTCAACTCCATACGTACTAGATGCATTAGCCTGTGAATATAGTCACACCATCTTTAGGTGGGATAAATCGCCAATACAGCGAGTGAGTGAGTTTGAGTTTTATGTCATTTTTAGCAATATTCCAGCAATATCAAGATGGGGACACCAGAAATTGGCTTCACACACTGTACCCATGTGGGGAATCGAACTGGGTCTTCTGAGTAACGAGCGAACGCTTTAACCACTAGGCTACCCTACTGCCCCCAAATCACCAACACAATAATGCATCATGATACATCAGTCACATATGCCTTTAATACTACAGGTGAACAAACCAATTAAAGCCATAAATTAGATCATAATTAGCATGTTATTAGTATCATGGCTGAGTACATTAAATTTCAGTATGTTGTAGCACTGTCATGTTTTTATGCTTGTTTGTGGCAATGTGGTTTGGCCCACATAGATGATACACTTGGGATTAGCCAATCAAACAGGCAAATATTGTATACACCTGAAACCAAATAGATCTGTGAGTTCATTCAAACGAACCTCACATAGATTCAAGCATCAACCAGGGTATTTTAGGACACTTTCAAAGCCTTTTAACAGCCTCCAGTTCATTACAAGTTGTACATGTAACTGTATCTAGATTTTCAATAACAGGTTCATGAATAATGGTAAAATTACCATTTAAAAAATTGTCATTTAAAAACATGCCCTAATGCAATAAGCATCACTGCTTTGTTGTTGCAAACCTAAGACGCTCGCCCGAATCTTGGGATTTTCTGATAGAGCCAGATGACCCAGCTGAGAACAAGGTTCCACAGTGACCGTGCCACGCCCACTCGAGTGACAAGGACCCGCCAGATGACCACCACCAATACAGCGTTGATAACAAACTGGATCTGCTTCATTCTGAAACAATCACAAGCCAGGTGATAATTACTGGACGTCAATGGACAAATACTGAGCATAGATAGGTACATAATACAATTCCAAAGGAAAGGTTTGGCTGTGTTCAAGGTATTCTAGTATGAGGAGTTTTCTCGAAGGAGAATGTAAAGTATTATTTTACAACTAAGGTCATAATGACCTGGGTCAGTATTATACAGTGACAGCAATATGTAAACCCAGAAAACTACTAATGTCACTCAAATGAATTTGTCTTCATGAAGTGCTAACATATTATGGATAGTTTCATGAACGCAATAAAAGAATCTGATAAGCTTGATAAGCATGATTTCCCTTCAGGCACTAGGAACTTATTGTAGGCATGTCATAATGTTCTCAAATATGCTTTCAGCATAAGAACACAAGGAATTTGTAACCCTACCATGTAGATACTAAATAAATGAGTGAGTGAGTGAGTTTGGTGTTACGCTGCACTCAGCAATATTCCAGCTATATGGCGGCAGTTGGCGTGGGATACAATGACATATGTCAACCAAATCAGCGAGTCTGACCACCCGATCCCGTTAGTCGACTCTTATGACAAGTTTGGGTTGCTGAAGATCAATTTTAACACGGATCTTCACGGGTACTAAACAAATGAGGAGGGTAACGTGATACAAGTGAACGTCTGACCTGTGGAGAGCTCTCCTTGCCTTTGGGAGCTGATCCAGCTCTTCCTTCAGGACAAACTGTTTTGTGCCAAGGCAGTAGTTCTCCATGTATGATGACCAGTCTATATGGCGGGCATCAAAGTCAAACGTCTGCAACAGCCATGAATTCTTATTTCTGTTTGCTTAAGGGATAAAGTTATCTGGGGTTATAAGAAATGAGACAACTTACAAATTGTCAGAACCAAGGGTATTGGATTGAATTATTATAATGTTTAAATTATTATTTCCCTTCGACAGTCACCTTAAACAAATGATTATGTGTTTCCTTTAGGAGATAAACATCATGTGCTGTCAATAACACCTGGAAATTGGCCAACACATGATGTTTATCGACATTGTAAACACAAAAGTAAACCAAAAGGTCCACACACGTTTTTGTGTCTGCACTCATTGACATCGAGTACGGGTACAGCAGTGAATGTCATCAGCCGGCCGTTCGGCTGTCTCCCATGGTAGCATCTGGAACTGCTCATTTGTGACGTCATTCGGACTTTATGTCACAATATGATTTTAATGACGTCATCACAGCTGACGACGTAACAATACAATGGTGTGAGCGATGTTTGTATGTATTAATACGCAGCAAATTTCCCGGGAATCGAATACCATTTGATCACGTTTTTCAACCAATCAGATTAAAGAACATAGTGACTTTTGGTTAACAATGCAATTTAATGCACTCTTCCAGCTGTATGACAAGTTATGAACCATACCACGTTGGGACATGATGACAAACAACCTTATCACCAAGATTTAATTGAATGCTGAAATATTTCCTACCTCTCGATCAGACTCTGACATCTTATCCAATAGCATAAATATATTGTTGTTTTCAAACTTCCACTCCCGAGATGTGAAGAACTCGAGCGTTGTCACTGCTTTCCAGAGTCTATCCTGGATCTTGACAAATCTGAAATGTCAGGCAGCATATCTATCAGAAACAGCTTCACACTGACTGACCGAGTCTACTGAAAGCCACTTTATGACATTTGAAGCAGTGTTTCATGGGATAAAAAATTTGCATAAGCTTTGAGAATAGATCAGGGGTGGAAATAACCCATTGCCCGACGTCCTAGTCCAGTGTTGTTTTCTGTCGGGCAAGCTAATTTGTATATCACATTGTACCGGTGTCCAGTTGACTTCCCAATGTTAATTATGTTGTTTATTTAAAAGATCAACAAGAAAATCGGCCAGTATAGCGGAAAAATTATCACGGCAAGTGATTTTACATGTGCCACTGTACCAGAGTACACTAGCAATTTTAAAGTTATTTCGACCCCTGTAGATGTCTTAAAGTCACATTGCAAGTCAGGCTGGATTATAATGAAAAAAAGAAGAAGAGTTGTTCTAATCACTGAATTTATCAATGCTTGGATCATATCAACAATATTTCTCAAGCCACATCAGCCATTGCCTTGCCACCACCTACTCTACTCAGTTCTTCAACGTACAGTAGTAGTAGGGTTTGTCTGAACTTCCATCACTTTCTGTAAATCATGAAATTAAACTCTAGTACCCCTTTAACAAAGTGACAGATTTTTTCTTGAGTTTATTGTCCCATCAGGTTCACAACACATGTCAGAAACAATGACACTTATAACAAAGCACTAGTGTTAGTGTTGCTCACGAAGGCCTGCATCAAGGGTTGTCTGCTTATCAAGCAGTTTTGACAGACACCAATTACATACAAAAGAATCATTGCCAAATATTCTTATTAGCAAATGCTCTTATATCTAATAGAAAAGTCATTTATCTACTGACACATCTATGAATACTTACATGCGCTTCTTCCCAATGAGGTACATGTAGAAGTCCATCAGGTAGGCAGGGAGGACGTGGTCGAACAACACGTTCACATTCTTCCAGTATCTGACAACATAACAAACGCAACAGATACTGTAATGCCATCACTGTTAATTGAGACAAGTGTTTCCATGACAGTCAGGAGTGAGTGAGCTGGTTATACACAGCTTATATCACTATCGCATCAATATTACAGAAGGGAACAGCAAAACATGGCTTCACATATTGTATCCTAGTAGGGAATCATACCCAGGCCTTTAGTTTGACAACTCAACTCTAAGACTAACAGGCTTCATAGGGAGGAGCATGATGCTGGGAGAAATCCCCAACGATGATCTCCACCATTGTTCAGACTCATGCTATAAGGCTGATGAAACTCTCAGCATGAGTGATGGACCTCTTTAGTATCACATGCCTTCATTTAATGACAGTGAGAAATGTCTCATGAAAATGGACTACTATTTCTAGTATCCTATATAGACAGCTGCCATATGAATGAAGACATAAATAACTTAAAGCAATGGATTTCCGACTGTGATAAAGTTCTTACAAATATACTAAAAAGTCAGAATGAACTGAAAAATGTGTAAGATGAAATCTGTAGGTTGACTGAAAATGTGGGACCTGATGAAATGATAGTAATGGTAAAATGATGACAAATGACTCTAAAAATGTGGGTGTGTAGCTGAATATCTGGTGATTATGGCATGTTGAAGACACATGCATGACACCTTGAAGCCATATATAACATGCATATTTTTTGCCCTTGGTATTGCCTACCATTCCGCCTTAGGAGCCTACCCAAGCTAGGCCTTAATTCTGGTTGTCTGCAACATATTCTCAACCTGAGAACATCCAACAGATGCTCTATCAGGGACATGTTTTGAGACTTTGCAGGCCAGTGCAATGTGTGTGTGCCTTCTTGTCAGTAACAACCTGGGCATGATGTTCATTTTCACCTTAACATTCAAAGTTTCTGTTGATAATTCATGACAATTGGAATGACAGGATGCAGACCTTTGTCAGCATATCTCTGGGTCAGTCCAATGTCCATTCATAATAACCAAATGGTTCACCTAGCAAGCGTGATACTGTGCCATATCATGACCATGTTGACTGCAGTACATAATAATATTTATTGTCCATGTACACGTCCGCAATACATATATACAAATCATTTGTTCCCTTCAGGAAACGGTTCTTGAGATATCTTAACATGCAGGTAAAACGTGAAAGTCCCCTTGTGACCTTGAAATGAAGGTCAAGGTCACCAAACCTGACTTCGACCTTGCTTATAGTGTGATGAACCTAGGTACCAAATATGAAAAGAATCTAGTGAACGGTTCTTAAGATATTCCAATTCGTACGTACGTCCGTACATTACTGTCACGCTAACCGCGCGGCAGGGGATAACAAAGTATTATTTGACTTACGTTGACTTTGTAAACCTTGGGTTGGGCACCCTGGCAACTACATCCACTGGGTTCTTCATGAAGTACTGAAATGCCATCCTCTCTGAAAACAGTAATTAACACCAATGTAATATAAAGACAGAAAAATAACAACAAAATGTCTCTGATGAGACAGGACAATCATTTTCATGCTGTGAATTAGAAATAAACAAAAGACCTAAGAAAACTGTTAACTTCAGAATGCAAGAGAGACTGAGATGAAAAAGTGATTGGTTGTGTATTCCACAGGCTTCTAGCTTTATCTCCAAAGATGGTTATTTTTATAAATGTCATAAATGAAAGAAATGGCTACTCTGTACAACAAATATCTTTAGCGGACAGGACAAATCATGGCCAATCTTCAAGACTTCATACAAAAATATCAGGATCCTGGTAGTCGTGATACCTACCCATCTCACCCCAGGTGAACTTGTTGATCTGACCGGTGGTGTTGTTAAATACAGGTACCTTGGTGGGTCTAGAAAGAAGGGGAAAAACATTTGGTGAGATAAGGCATGAAAGACAAAGACACAGGAATTTGGTTAGACATTACCTGGATATATTTCTGCTGCACAACAACTAATGCATAAACTCAAGTTTAAGTGATGACCACAATAAATGAAACCCATGTGAACCAAATGAACTACAAATCAGGAGCCCAAGAGTTTGGGTTTAATGTCACTTTGAATATTTCAATGACCAGAGCCGATCTTGGAAACGTTTACCACTTGGCAAATCTGTAAGTACGCATACAGTAAGAAACAATCCAGATACATGATCATGGCTAATCTGAGGTTATTACCACTGAGCGCAGCGTTCAGATACACCCAAGGGACACAACTCTGCACAGATCAAACCTGGCATTTTGCTCCCAACATTCATGTACAACATTGTAAACAATTAATAGTCTTGACAGGACTGGCAAGATAAGGCAGTCAATACACAACATATTGATAACAGGAAAAATATCTTAGAGGAACAATTTGTTAATTTTATTTATATTTTTTTAGAAATTATAATTCAAACTTTTAATTATTACCTTAGAAACTTGTGCAAGTCTACCATATAAACTGCTCTGGCTGTAGCATAAGATATGACCCTGCTACAACACTGTACAAAGGGAAGTAACTCACTTAGATGTGCCTGTATACCAGGCAGCAGTGATCATGAGGTTGGTCGCTATATCACAGGGTATCACATCAGCAGTGCCATGAAAGTTACCATGCATGATTCGCAGGACACCTTTCCCAATCTGAAGAGAATAAAGCAGCAAAAGAAGTGAATGTCAGCAGGATTATGTTATATCATTGCTAGGCTGTTTTCTATTGTGTCTTGGTATAGGTTATAGCTCACTGGAGAAGCAGAGGGCCACTACAACACACCTTGGGCAAACACAACAGACCAACCACCTGTCCCAAAGCTAATATCAAAGTTAAAAACATACTTATTAACGTTCCAGCTATATGAAGCTGGACTGAAAATAGTCGTGTGTTGACCAGAGAATCTACTGATTGATAGTAAACACAATGATGGGGGGAGGGGGTACATGTCGCTTCTTAAGAACAGAATACGTTGATAGAGACCTACCCTAACCCAGATTCCTCACAGAGTAAATACGCATAGATCCACTGACTGACTGACTGAGTTTAGTTTTACGCCGCATTAAGCACTATTCCAGCTACATCACGGCCGGGGAACACAAGAAATGGGCTTCACACATTGTACCCATGTGGGGATTCGAACCCGGGTCTTCGGCGTGACGAGCCAACGCTTTAACCACTAGGCTACCCCACCGCCCCCGCATAGATCCAAGTCTTGTTGGTAGGACACACTAAAGTTACAGCTAAGAGATGGCTGATGGATTATGAGGACAATCCCAACTCGCTACCAATTTGGAAATCTCTGGACACAAGCATGAGCAAGTAAGGGCATCTACTTCTTACTAGTGGACTTAAACCACCTCCAGTTAATGGCATCAGAAGCTGATGAAGGCAGCACTGGACAAGGTTTTAAAAAGAAAATATTGTGATGTAGTGTGTATTCTCAAATAATTTAAACTGCTACATTGCTAATGTATGAAAAGTTGACATCAGTTACAGGCATGGAGACACATTCTATCAGACTGATCCTATCAATTTTTATATATACTAGCCACATAAAGAAACTGTGCATTGTCAAAATATTATCCCAGTTGATAAGTACGATAACAATGTCAAAGGTACATATAAACTTAAATGGAGGGATCATGAGACCATAACAAGTCGGGAGAATTTCAATTGAAAAGTCAATCACAATGACGTCACGGGTCCACAAGCGGGACAGGGGTCAAACGACCATGTCACAAGCTCAATAACGGGTATGTCCACCATCGGCATTGGGAACAGCAGTGCATCGACGACGCATAGAGCCTATCAAACGTGCATGGAAGGCTTGTGGGATGTCACGCCAGATTCACTCAAGTTCTGTTGCAACCCTGTCGTATGAGGGTGGGCATTGTCCTGTTGGAAGGTTAACCCAGGGCCATGACGTTGCAGAAAAGGAATTGCCACAGGTCGAAGAATCTGATCCCTGTAGCCCACACCAGTTAAGTTGCCCTGAACAATCACCAAAGGAGTTCTTTGGCATGCTGTTATTACACCCCAAATCATCACGGAACAACCACCAAAGCAATTCCTCTCCAAGACACAGGCCTGTGCATAACGTTTTCCCACGTGTCTATAGGCACATTGACGTCCATCGCTATGGGAAATGTTAACCTGGACTCAACTGTAAGAACAACATTTCTCCACCAAAACAAGGGTCTGCGGACATGATTTTGGCACCACATTCGGGCAAACTTGTCGATGACGTTGTGTCAGGATAGGCCGTATGGCGGGACGTCGTGGTCTGATCCCGTGATGACGTTAACGTTGTCAAACTGTGTTGGGGTGGATACGGCGAAGTCCTGGGATGGTTTGGGCAGTCATCACTGCAGTCTGAAACCTGTGGCGAAGATTGGTCACCCTTATCCATCTGTCCTGTCTTGGCGTTGTTACACGTAGACGTCCAGAACGTGGCCGATTGATGACGTCATTTGTGTTCTGGTAGTGTCTCACCAGTGCAGAAATGGTGTTCCGGTGGCAGTGGAAATGTGCAGCCACTTGTCGTTGAGACATTCCCCCACGGACCATCCCAATGGCCTCATGACGTTGTGCAGACGTGAGCCTTGGCATGCTATGCGTTTCAATAGCCGTTTAATTTTTTGAACGATCGCAAGGGCAGGGGTTGAGCTTTCCAAAGTGACAGTATTGTGTGGCATTCATTTGCTCTGTTTCTCTTTCCCGGAATGCACGTGCAACAACGTATTGCACGTCTCAAGGACGAACCCACTGACGTCACGGAACGTGGCACGTGCATGCATGTTGGATACATGTCACTAGTCTCTGAGTTTAAATCCTTATGTGTCTACACAGGTTTGATAAATTTAGATTTTAAATGTTTGTATGCACAGTTTCTTTATGTGCCTAGTATATATCTGTGAGAAAAGCAGTGAGAACTTACTGCTGCAAGCAATCCAGTGGGTCCATTGAAGTTGTCCACCCAGCCCTGCAAGACACAAGTTAAAAATTACAACTGATGATGAATTTGCAGAAACAACAGCATTGTAGCTTAGGTCATCTTGGTAATAACTTAAAAAGAAGATAATTTGACAAACAGTTACAGATTCAGTTTTGAAGATTAGTCCAAAGTCAAAGTCTTCTTTCTCTCCTGGGTAATAATGGTTTGTACATGCACACAAATTCCCAGGTGGTCTTCAAGTGGTAGATAAGCTGCAGACTTACTTAAAAATGAAATTTTTAGAGTAAAATTAATATTTTATACTTATCCTGACTCATGCTTATTGCTTGTCTTCTTCTTCTGGCGAACCTAGTGGAACACTTGTATCTCCCAATTGAAGTTCCCTTCAATAAAAAATCACTCATTAGTACTGACCACGAGTTACCTCCCTTCCACAAGCGCGGGAACGAGGGCGCCACCCGAACCCATGTGCCTCACTCTCTCCTCATATACTGAGCCCAACACCTGAATTTCCAGGGAAATCCAAAGTGTTATGTGGGGAGGATGGGAGGGCTTACCTCATGAGTCAGGATAAGTATAAAATATTAATTTTACTCTAAAAATTTCATATTTTTCCTTATCCTGACTCATGCTTATTGCTTGTAGAATCCTACGGATAAGGAGGTGGGATTATATATACTTTGGATTTTACTAATTAGTGATTTGAACTGAGATGATTGCAATAACCCTATGGGAACTTCATAAAGGCACTGAACTGAAGAATTCCTGCTGTTAACTTATCAGCTGCCATATAAGGGTTATTACAATTTACTGAATATAATAAAAGTATATATAACATTAAGTAAGCTGAAGCCATTAATGTGATAGTATAAACTCTTGATAGTTTATAGTGAATACTTTTTATAATGAACCAAAGTATTAAGCTTACAATATGCATATATATAAGCTATAATATAACTGTGCTTAAGATATAACTATAACTTAAGCTGTATAATAGTAACCAATTACTGAGAATTTGTTAACTAATACATGTCATGAACTGAACATATGACTGAGCTTAAGGATTGAAACTTAAGCTGAACATATATATAATAGTAGAACTCCTAAGAGTTGTAGGCATATATATAGTATGATATAGAATCACAGTACCGTATAACAGCAAAAGACTCCCTAGAGTTTATTAGCTAATATACTTTATGATATGAGTATAGTACTGTGCTTAAGATATAATTAACTTGAGCTACCTAAATAGCCAAAAAAACTCCGTACAGTTTGTTAGCTAAAACATTTTATACATAATGCTTAAGATATGATGAAACTTAAGCAAAATATATAATAGCAAAAAACTCTTTAGAGTTTGTTAGCTAATATACTTATGATATAAACATAGTACTGAGCTTAAGATATGAATTAACTTAAGCTACATATATAATAGCAAAAAACTCCGTAGAGTTTGTTAGCTAATACATTTTATAATGTACCCATAATGCTTAAGATATGATGAAACTTAAGCTAAATATATAATAGCAAAAAACTCTTTAGAGTTTGTTAGCTAATATACTTATATGATATAAACATAGTACTGAGCTTAAAGGTCACATGCAACGTAAAACACAACTTTGCAGATTCTGATACCTTTCGGTATGGACTTACCGAAACAAAGCGTCAAAAATGCAAATTCAACTTATAAAGTTGAAAAATAACGCAATGAAAAAACCCCCGCGAAATCGGAGTTCAAACGTTTCACTAATTTTCCCCAGACTTTTCTGGGGAATACAGGTTTAAACAGCTGGGCTGCGCTCATAGCACGTGCGCAGTGAAATAGGTTCGCGCAACTTGGAAGCGGGCTGTCCGGTGAATACTCGGTGAAGGCTTTGGTGAGAGCTATTTTCATAATGTTTTGTTGATATCTCACAGGCGCGAGCTTTTGTATGTTATGACAGTATAATGAGCTGACACAATTTCTAACTGTGATATAGATATGTCGCTGTCACAGACAAAACTCAATGTCTTGTTTTATTGACACCCGTGTGTCTGCCTGCCTGTCTGCTAATGACAATATTCAATACACAACTGCGATCACTGACCACATGCAATTTGAACTTAACACCAATCAGGCTATACACCATAAACAAAACGCATTGATTTATGGCCCGAGTTCGGTCTCTGTCACATTATGTAATTACACAGACAGGCAGGTGTGATACTTGAACACATGACATGTTATGATGTCTGTTGATTGCAAAATGTTATACACAAAAAATGAGCATGTATTTACAAAACCCAACATCTCTATATATACACACACAATGAGCCGTGAAGGCGACATCTGCTAATGAACCAGCCGTTACACTTGAGTGCACACCCACCCGCTCTGACTGGGTTCGGTATCCCGGCTGCTTCGTTTCGAGGGAGGTAAACCCAAGTACAAAATATTGCACTTTTGATTTGCGATTATATGCTTATAATTTTGTTTATTTGTTTTTTCATAATCAGCAATGCGTATTATATGTCATGAATAAGTGATAATTGTGTTTTAATTATGTTTGATTTTTTGGCTGCATGTGACCTTTAAGATATGAATTAACTTAAGCTACATATATAATAGCCAAAAACTCCGTAGAGTTTGTTAGCTAATACATGTTATAATGTAACCATAATGCTTAAGATATGATGAAACTTAAGCTAAATATATAATAGCGAAAAACTCCGTAGAGTTTGTTAGCTAATACATGTTATAATGTAACCATAATGCTTAAGATATGATGAAACTTAAGCAAAATATATAATAGCAAAAACTCTTGAGAGTTTGTTAGCTAATATACTTATATGATATAAACATAGTACTGAGCTTAAGATATGAATAAACTTAAGCTACATATAATAATAGCAAAAACTCTGTAGAGTTTGTTAGCTAATACATTATAATGTAACCATAGAATTGAGCTTAAGATATGATTAACTTAAGCTAAATATATAATAACAAACTCCGTAGAGTTGTTAGCTTATATATAGTATGATATAAACACCATAGTACTGAGCTTAAGATAATAAATTAAACTCAAGCAAAATATATAGATAGCATGTATCTATTAGTACTGTCATCCGATAAGTATAAAATCTGTAAGATAGACTTATCTTCTCCGTGGAACTGTCAACTGTTGAGCGAGGACCATGGGACCGAAACGGTGGATACCTGAGACTTCCTTGGTGGTGATATTTCTCAGATAGTGGTTGGCAAACACCATATCGGATCTCCAGAAACATCCCTCCATTATGGTATTCAACGAACAATTCCCATGTAGAGCGAGAGTTGAGGCTAGTGCTCTAATTTTGTGAGGATTAGAAGCTCTTGGAGGGTCGCGTCCAACAGCCTTGTAGGCACGTAGTATGACAGTTCTGATCCAGATAGAGATAGTAGTACGTAAGACTTCCGTCTCGTGAGCTGTAGATATAGGGATAAATAATCTCTTGAATATCCCTGCTCTATTTGGATCGTTGGAGATATATTTTCAGTGTACGAACTGGGCATAGTGATAGATCCATCGTGATCATGCGGTCCAAGTATGGATGAGAGAGCTGGGACGATGGAATAATCTGTCTGGTTGACCTGGCAGTTGGTTTTCCTATAAAATCCCAGCTAAGTCCCAGATGAGCTATGTTATGAAAATCATCAAAGCGTGTTCTCTCGTAATCCAGTGCGTGAATCTGACATCCTGGTGGCGTGAGCTAGTGATAACAGGATCAAGGTTTTGTGGGTCAGTGATTCAAACGATGTAGATAGCGATGGTTCAAAAAACCTCACTAGTGAGGTGTTGGAGCATTATATTAGATCCCAAGCTGGAGCGTGAAACTTCCGTTTCTAATCCTCCAATCGGAAAGCTTGTAACAAACCGAGTAACTCTGGCGTTTTGTCAACTTGACGCCCGCTCTCATAGTATGACAGAACTTATAGCTGCCAGATAAATGGACAAGGTTGAGCCTTTTAGATTCTTAGTTTAACGTAGATAACATAAGAAATCTGCCACTTGAGGATGTGTAGCATATCTGGCTGTAAATCCTTTCTTAGCAGCGTAATTGACAAACTGTGCCATTTGTCATCGTGATAAGTTACGAGTCGAGTTACGCCGCGTGCAAAGCGTGACCGCTGTAGCAGCTCTGGCAGAATAACCTCTTATTCAGACATGCCTTGATACAATCCATACGTGAAGTTGGAATGCTTCTGGTGTATCGTGCACTTGTTTGGTGTGCAGATGTATCAATAGATTGGAGCGTTGTGGGAGCTGAAGAATTTAGTTTCCGATTTCTTGTATGAGATCTGGAAACCAAGTTCTCGCTAGCCAGTAGGGCGTGACCAAATCAGATGGAGGCTCTGCATTTGACTGATTTTCTGTAAGACTTGCTTAGTGCGTCCGTTGCCCATGCTAGTGGGTCTGGCACTGGCGATACGAATGTTGTCAGTTGCTTGTTGAACCGAGTGGTGAATAGGTCTATCAGAGGAGATCCTATTTCCCTGTGTGTGGAGCATCCATTCTGTCGGCGACGGTAGGTGTAGCCCAGAGAGAGCGTCTGCTAATATATTCTATGCTCCTGGAATGTGGCAAGTACTGACGTGTATGTTTAGATTGTCGATTCGATCAAACAGTCTGAAACATCGAGTCAGTAGGTTCTGTGACCTAGTTGAACCTTGTTTGTTCACATAAAAAAACGCCAGTGTTGAATTGTCTGTGTGAACCATTATCTGAGCGTTCTGTAGTAGGTTGCTCCAGTGACTTATGGCGTTTATAACTGCTTGCATCTCTAGCAGATTATGTGACATTTGCTCTCTTGATTGCTCCATAGACCTGAGGCTGTCCTGCGGTAAGGTGGGCTCCCCAACCTTGTAGTGACGCGCCTACATTACAGATGTGTTTTCGATTCGGCTCTACTAAGGAGACGCTTGCGCAAACATTCAATCTCTTGGTCTTGATGATGAAATTCAACTGTAGTCTGAGACGCTGTGGATTTGGATCCACTTGTATACCGTCGTCGAGGAAAATTCGCTGCGAAGTCCTTGACGATGCTCACTGAGATAATGTTGTCACTTGCAACCTAAGTCTTGAACTGTGAACTATGCTCGACCTCTGTGTGTAGGGGCGTTGTCCATCGCGGGTCCAATCAGAACAAGGCATTTTGATTCTGTAGAGTACCCAGCTGTGATGTCACCGGTGTAGCAGGAAAAGGAACCTTGTATAATATAGTGCCGTCGTTGATATTAGAACAATCGCCGGTCTTCACCGTAGCTTCCCCGGTTACCCCAGTAAACCACGTGTTCGAGGGTTAATGGTAAACGCCGCGAAACCTCCGGCGCGAAATACCTCGCTCTGTAATGTTAATGCTGGGTAGGTTATTTCCCTGGCTGTCGTGAAAGTAACTTCAGTCTTGAAGATAATTCCGACTTCCTTATATAAAGGTTTAATAAAACTTGCAAGTTGTAAAACTTGTAGACTGTATACATGAATGTATCGTCATAATTGTAGAATTAAAGCTGAACTTGTTGTACATATTTCTTCTCAGAAATCGTTGACGATATGAGTTTTATTCGCTGTAAAAAGGTTGCTGTTCAATTCCGTAATAGAATTGTCTCCAGATCTGCGTATGGGCTTCCGAAGATTTGGAGCAGGCTGTATCCAGATTAGCTGGTACCGCTGCAATCGGATCAATAGGAGGTAAGGTGAAATAGTCTACATCATCATTCTTCATGACGTAAGTCTGAGTTGAATTCTCGTTCTTCGATGAAAAAAACACGTTGTAACTCATTCACCATCCAGTATCTAATCTCAGCATCTGAGAAAATGATACTTTCCTCCTCCTTTGACGAGGGTCACATGTCAGAGTCCTAGATCTATAGGAAGATCTATGAGAGGACTGTGATGAACGGACTGACGAGTGGCTAGTGTAAGGAGACCTTGGAGGAGACACCCTCCTTGAACGCTGGGGACTTAGCGAACTCTACTATATCTTCCGAGAACGTTGGGGGATCAACGCTGGGGCTTCACGAAGCTCTTCTAGGCGATGTAGATCTTCTAGGCGATGAAGAACTGGAGCCACTTAGCCTTTGCGACCTTAGCGAATGTATCGAGTCAGTGTCCCGATCGACATATGAGCGCTTGCAGCCAGCGCCCTCGTGCATGACAAGGTGCTGCGTGCTCGGCGCTCCTTCTCCCTTGCAAGCCTCTTGCAAAAGGTGAGGCTCTAGCTCCTTCACGGAGGCTGGCCTGGGATATCTTATGCAAAGAGCTCACTCCGGGCAGGGTTGCCCGCCGAGGGCGTCTATGGGCTCAGAGGCCCTACGCCGAAGCCAAGCGGGGCTCTGAGGCCCTGTATGACTTGATATGGGGTGGGTTCTGAGGCCCGTGGCTCTGAGGCCTCTGTATGCCGTAAAGCGGTCTTCCATCACCCTCATTATCTGGTTGATCAAGTCGTCTGAAGCGGTCTGCGTTGATGAGGGATGTCTCTCTGCAGAGGTGACGGGACCCTCAGATAAATTTCTGGTGATAGTGTCGGCATCTCCGGTTGTGTGCTAATCTGCGCTGAGGTAACAGTCGCAGAAACAAGACGCTTCTTTATGACGAGCATCTGGAATGATAATCGGAATGTCATCATCATATAAAGATAATTCTGTGATAGGTAAACTATCGGAGGCAAAATTATTAGATTTTGTAGATTTCCCTTTTGACGTAGCTGTAGACCTAGGGTTCAAACGTATGTGATGATATGGACGTTTTCCTAGTCTTAGACTGAGAAGACGGCAGGTCTTGAGATGCAGGTCGCTGCTTGGACATAGCGGACTGCGTCCCACGCTATTCTCGAGGGAACTCAGGCATGCCACCAGCCGGTGGCGGTCGTCAGTCAACATTGACAGGGAATATTAGCTTCTGATCTAATAGCCATGACTGAAGATTGTTTGCAAGATTTATCTGCCTTCCGTCTAAAAACGGAACATAAATATTTATCAAAGGCAGAAATTGGTAAATTAATACATAATTTACAACGAGAAACAAAAGAACATGGAGTAATGCAACTAGGGCATTTTAAATGTGGATCAGTAGCGGAATAACGTAGTTTACAATCTGTGCAGATTCTCATTAACGTAAACTACTGAACAATCACGGCGAACCGTGAATAAACAGCAGAAACACCATTAATAATCAATGCAAGTTGAATAAGGATACTAGTTACACCTCTATACTAAGTATAAGAGGTACTAAACTAAAAGGATATAGTGTGTTGGGAGACACAGGCGCTCTCACGACCAGCTCACTGGGCGAAGAAGGAGAGAGTGAGGCACATGGGTTCGGGTGGCGCCCTCGTTCCCGTGCTTGTGGAAGGGAGGTAACTCGTGGTCAGTACTAATGAGTGATTTTTTATTGAAGGGGAACTTCAATTGGGAGATACAAGTGTTCCACTAGGTTCGCCAGAAGAAGAAGACAAGCAATAAGCATGAGTCAGGATAAGGAAAAGTTAGAATTGTTTTACAATACAGAACTGCATCCTCAACAATCTAGGCTATTGTATCTCAATTCTATTAGTATTACGATCAATAACCTAGAATTATTCCCCACCATATTTTCTGTATGTCTTCAGCTAGATCTGCAGTAAATAATGCAAAACAGCGCATTTCCAGCTTGTTTTAACTTTATAGCCATGTATCACTGTTGTAAGTATATATCATATATATGTTATAAACTTGGGGCATCACATGAACAAATGCAAATGAGAAGTCATCCTGAAAAATTGTCTTCAGCTGAAACATGTTTAAAAAAGATTCACAGTTCAGTTGAAAAATACCCAAAAAACTGAATGTCCAGTAAAAATCCAGAAGAAGACTCCACCACACAGCTTTGGGTACCCAAAGTGAATTATGAGTGAGTGAGTTTTGCGCGGCTTTTAGCAATATTCCTGCAATATCACAGCAGGGGTCACCAGAAATGAGCTTCACACATTGTACCCAATGTGGGGAATCGAACCCAGGTCTTTCCCATGACAAGTGATCACTGTAACCACTTGGATACACCACTGCCCCTTGAATTATGACATGCAACTAATGTTGCTTACAGTTGTGCTACATCTCTGTCTGCTACAGTAAACCCTCAAACTGAACATCACTTACTGGGAGTGGTTCCTTGTAGGTGGCACCCACTATGGACGGTCGGACGATGGCCACAGGGAGCTGACCACACCCCTCTAAAAGGAGGAACTCGGGCCATGGCCTTGGTGTATGTGTATGTGTTGGGGCGGGGTCCAACAAGCTTCTTGGTGAGGACATTCAGGGCAGCATTGTCCATCCATCTGTACAACAGTCAGTGTGTGAAAGGTGCCGTTTTTTGTTTTACAAATTATATATTTTTTTAAATCCTGGTCAGTGATATGGTTGGCAAGCTACAACATCAACAACAACAATGATAACAATAATAATGAAGATCATTTAGGACTATATTGTTGACCTTCGTCTTTCAGTGGCCTAGACATAAGAGGACCGCCTCCGTGGTGTAGTGCTTAGAGCGTCCGCCCAGAGCGCGGAAGGTCGCAGGTTCGATCCCCGACCGCGTCATACCAAAAGACGTTAAAATATGGTACTTGTTGGTCCCTGCCTGGCGCTCGGCATTAATGGGTACAACAAGGACTGGTCGGCTTAGCTGCAGTATGGTATCTCAGTGGGCTAGCACTATAAAACCAGCTTCAGTCTGGGCTAGTACATGCAGCCGCACATACACATACACACGCATGCACGCGTCGTCATATGAGCGAACTATTCTCAAGCACGATGTAAAACCCAATTTCACCTCACCTCACCTCACCTAGACATAAGAGCAGGTTGACATAGACATAAAACATGTAACAGCAAGAGGTAGTAATTGAATTATAATCTATACCACAGTCAGTGGTATTCTGAATGAGTGATGAGTGAGTGAGTTTAGTTTTACGCCGCTTTTAGCAATATTTCAGCAATATTGCAGTGGGGGATACCAAAACTGGGCTTTACATATTGTACCAATGTCGGGAATTGAACCCAGGTCTTCAGTGTGACAAGCGATTGCTTTAATCACAGCTACCCCGCTGCCCCGAATGAGTGATGAGTGACATGAATGGCTGATAACTTGATAGCATCAGCAACCATCAACATGCTTCAAGCCAGTGGGAATAGAACACGTATAGTACCAAATACTAGGTCACAAATCGAAACTATTAACAGGTGGTATCTAAACATAAATAGTTGAAGAATCTGAAGGTCTAAGAAACCCTTTAATAGTGGAAAAAACTCAACTCATAAATGTACAAGTTCATTCATTAAAATATATAGCAACATTTCACCCAACTATGCATTATATATCTTTAACTGTAAAACTGATAAAACTAGCTTCATTAAAAGATGAGTAGTTTTTTATGACAGTTTCCAAACGAATAAATCACTTTTATTTTGACCAAAAAAATCCCTACACTGGAAATGGAGAAAAGTAATCACGTCTCAATTAGCTCTTACAAGAAGACAGATACTGAAGAACTACACTGAACCTGAATCAACATAGGTGCTGCATAATGGGAATGACTTCTTAAATATTTGTTCATATTTAATGCAGTTCTCCAATCTCCAACAGTCAAGCTGGTATTGATATTATTACCTACGAGGGAAAGATATCGGGGTTCATATTTTTCATACGATGCCTTAGGGCAAAATATCACTTTGTCATTTCTTCAATGACATTGCGTTCTACATACGGCAATGGCGGGTAGCCAGCCTATGTTTGAAAGTAGATTTGTTTTTCTTCCCTCAATTTGTTGACTTCAGTAATAAATTGAACATTATATTCGCGCCCATATCATACTATGTTAACGACACTTGTGCTTAAATATCGGTATTTCCCGCGCGAGAGCAAGGCACTCGAGGAACATTTAGGCACTCGTGAACTCGAGAGCGAGGAACATTTAGGCACTCATGTCGTTAACATAGTATGATATAGGCACTCATATAATATCCTCTATTTATGAGCAAAGACAAGTCACCGAGCATGAGCAACTGAGTTACCTCCTACAGTCAGCAAGGGGATCAAAACTAACCAGAAATCCCCATTTGGGACTTACTCAACAGCTTCCACCAGTTTCTCTGGGTGGAGTGGTGGTTCATACACCCGCTCAGCAACAACCTCCTTATCACAGTTAGCATAGGCAGTCGACACATGGACCACAGCCTGCAACAACACAAGATATGGCATGGATTTCAGCTACAACAAACAGGCGTCGTTCGTTATTTTATCAACATGTGAACACAACCTGTTCATGGTGATATTTTATCCCAGCTAGTGAACAACACTGCTTTGAACAGTACATCAGATATATCACAATGAGTGTCAGCTTAATGCAAGACAAAAGTCATAAACATGAAACACATTTACATCAGAAGATCAGGAAACACAAACACAATCAAAAGACACATCTTCTACATACATGATATAACAATGTGCAGGCACGTCTCTGTGTGATTTCTTGTATTTGTCTTGACTCATGTCCATTGACAATTGTTTTTGTTATTTATTCAAAAACTATTCATATCTTCAATTGTTTTAAAAATATATGTATCATATTTAAAGATATCAGCAAAAACTGAAGATATTTTCATTTCTGATATTGGAAGTAGAAGCATTTCAAATGTCATGTTATAACCCTTTCAATAACAAAACCCAAACATTCAAGATATCAATAGCAAGAAGATAAAGTCATCAATATACCCCGCAATAGTAAAATACTCTTCATGAATATGTCAGCTAGTTATGACTATGTCAAATGTTACATTGTTCTTCACATTGATCTAACGAAAACATACATATGTAAACTATTCATATACTAGCATGCTTGTATCAACAACAGACTGACTGAGTGTTCCCACGGTTTCATGTACCTCAGTAATGCTGATACAGAAATAGAGTGGTACTCTTGATATATGTCATTAGGTTCTTGAATACCCACAAAGTGGAATTAGAGTATTGAAAGGTTTTACAGTTTTGCTCTGGAAAGTAGCACTATCACCAATTTCAGTCGAAATCAACTTTGTTGCCATGGAAACAATTTATTTTATTCCTAAATCCAAAACTACCAAAAAGCACCAGTTCACCACCAGACCTATCCATGAGCCACGGTTAGTGAGGAAACATTGAATGGTTTTAGAGTTCTGCTCCAGAAAAGAGCACTACCACCAATTTCAGTCAGTCAAACTTGTAGCCATGGAAAGGCAAACAAAAGCGAGTGAGTGAGTGAGTTTAGTTTTACACCGCTTTTAGCAATATTCCAGCAATATCCCGGCGGGGGACACCAGAAATGAGCAAATGCAAACAAGAAGACAATGTCATCAGTATATCCTGCAATAGTTACGACTATGTCCAATGTTTTGGCGTGTATATAGCAGTGAGTGAATTAGTTTAGTTTTATGCCACACTCAGCAATATTCCAGCTATATGGCAGCAGTCTGTAAATACTAATCTGAACAAGATAATTCAAAGATCAACAGTATGAGCATCGATCTACACAATTGGGATACAATGATATGTGTCAACCAAGTCAGTGACTATATTGCAAAGTGGAAGGAGAGTATTGAGAGGTTTTAAAGTTCTGTTCCCGAAAAAAAGCACTACCACCAATTTCAGTTGAAGTCAAACTTATTGCCATGGAAACACTAAAAATATTTTAATCCAAAATCCAAAACTACCAAAAGGCACTAGTTCACCAACAAATCTATCTATGTGCCGGATAACTTTAAACTCATTTAATGTTTTGATTGTATATTTTTGACATCATCTCCAACTTTACCTGAGCAAAGACATTCCTTCCCAAACTCAGAATGGAACCCAGGAAATGGTCTCAAAAAGTGCAACCTGATCTCGGAGATGGTATGGTGTTCTCCATGCTGCACGTGCTGTTCACAAGGACCAGCCCTATAAAATGCACCCCCAAACCTGGTTGAAACATTCACATAACAACATCAGCAGGATGCCGCGACTACGACAGCTCAGAGGAACCAGGCGCTAGGAAGACTTGAAGCTGGCCACACTGCACAAGCCGTTGCCAATCACTTCCAGGTCAACGTTTGGACCATCTACAGGCTGCAGCAACGTTTCCGGGCCACCAACACCACAAATGATCGTCCCCGTACTGGCAGACCAAGGGTGACCACAAGACGAAAAGGCTGCCATGTTGTGTGACAGCATGTACAGAATCCCTTCATGCAGGCATCCGAAACAGCACGCCAGACAGTGGGAACACAAGGAAGACCAATCAGTACTGATACAGTACACCGATGTCTCAACAGCGGGAACCTCCATTGCCGTAGACCTTACCGTGGACCTATCCTCACCCCTCATCATCGGTGTGAACGTCTACAGTTTTCCCCTACAACACCAAAACTGGTGATACAGGCAATGGAGAACTGTTCTGTTCACAGATGAGAGTCGGTACTGTGTATCAACTGCAGATGGCAGAACAGGAAAATGGCAAAACATGGCCAGTGTTACTCAGACCATGTGTTATGGAAAGAGACTCATGGGGAAGTGCAAGCATCATGGTATGGGATGGAATAGGCCTGAACCAGCGAGTGGGTCCTGTGGTGTTCCAGAACCTTGGTCCAGGGAGAGGAGGCCGCATCACAGCGGGGCGTTACATCGACCAAGCTCTCAGACCACACGTCATACCACATTTCGCACGTCACCGGAACAACATTTTCCAGCATGATAATGCCCGGGCCCATACTACCAGAGCGACACGGGACTTCCTACAGCAGAACAGTGTCAACATTATACAGTGGCCAGCCCTTAGTCCTGATTTAAATCCAACTGAACACCTTTGGTATGAAATTCTGAGGAGAATGAATAACGTCATACCAAGGCCGAACAAAACCAATTTATTGCGCCAGGCCTTTCTCAGAGTGTGGTTCCAGGTGCCAATGGCTTTCATCAATCGATTTATGCACTCCATGCAGAGACGCTGTGCTGCAGTTATTACCGCTGTGGGTGGTCACCACTAGATACTATTGGCCGGTTTTGCTGCTTTGAGCTTCAGGCCTTTCTCAGAGTGTGGTTCCAGGTGCCAAGCTAATTTTCATCAATCGAATGCACTCCATGCAGAGACGCTGTGCTGCGTTATTACTTCATGAAGTCTTAGTGGTGGTCACATTAAGAGAATTACTAGATACATATAAATCCAACGCATATATATATAAAGTCAAATGTCTGCAAACGGTGTATAAAAATTGTGTTGAGTTATTCATTGATGTGTCAGGATATTGTACACAAAAAATGGTTTTGATCCGCTTATTATGTCCATTTCTGTAATGATTTGATTACAGTGCCTATCTATCTATCTAATTCATTGACTGATTTCGGTTTTGCTGCTGAGTATATTTAACAGTTTTTATGTTCTGTCTCGGGAAAACAAATTTCCAGAGAAGTTGACGAACGGAACTCAAAAATAATACCCCTCGTGGGCAAAGTTATAGGCTCTGTGTTTGTCCTGATTTTTCTATAATACTTGAGGTATTATTGCTTGCGTGGCCGAAGCGGCGGAAGCAACGTCACGCGTGAGGCCTTCCACTTGATAGACTTAAATCGTCGTTGCCAAGCAGGGGTCTGGGACTGGTGATTACGAGATGTGCGGTAGCTGATTGTTGGTCAGCGTGCTGAATAAGGTCTAACCGGTAGGCTCCTAATTGCTTGATTATCTGTGCAAAATTTCCCGGTTGATCATCCACTCTGCCGGTGATGGTAGATGGGGCCGAGAGAGGCGTCTGCTTCTAGTATATTTCTGGCTCCGGGGAATGTGCACTGCTGATGTATAGATTTAGATCTTGTGTGATGCATCCGGAACAGTTGAAAGCTTAGGTTCAAAAGGTTCATGTCGATCTCGTTGAGCCTTGCTTGTTTATGTAGAGCGCCACTGTCGAAGTGTCTGGCCTTGGATCATTAAGTGGCATTTTATAGAAATGTGTGCTCCAGTAATAGAATAAGCGTTGATTACAGCTTTCATTCCTAGACTGTTTATATGGAGTTTGCATTCTTGCTGATTCCATAACCCTCATGTCGTGTGGTTAATTGAGATAGAGCTCCCTAACCTTGGGAATTAACAGCTGATCTACATGCAGATGGGTTTTGTATTCCTGCTCTGCTAAACAAATCCCTTCGCGAACATTGATATCTTGAGGTCCACCATAGTAGATGTGGTCTAGGAGGATTGTTTGATAGACTGAATGGTTGTACATCGGTGAGATGTTGGTGAGGCAGGATATTGTACACAAAAAATGGTTTTGATCCGCTTATTATGTCCATTTCTGTAATGATTTGATTACAGTGCCTATCTATCTAATTCGTACTGACGGTTTTTTTGCTGCTGAGTATATTTAACAGTTTTTATGTTCTGCTCCGGAAAAACAAATTTCCAGAGGCGGACTAACGGAATCCAAAATAATACCCTCGTGGTACTTAAAGAGAGACCAGCAAAGAGTATTGCGGGGGATATTAAATTAATCAGTATTTAATCACGAGATATAAGGAATAGAATTACTGATTCCATTAAAAACATGGATTTGTTGGCATATTTAAATCAGTAATCTAATTTCAGATATCAGCAATTCTTTTCAAGATATCATTAATATGCATCATTATATCCTTATTTCATTTCATGATATCAGGAGTTCATAACAGGTCTTCTATAATTATCTCTATTTAAGACATCTTTAATTCATTTCGAGATTTTCTTTAAAAACCAATTTAAGATAATTCAAGATATCACTAATTCTTATATAAATGTGAAAGTGGCTGGCCATACTACTCCACGGAGGTACCTAACACATGTACCTTACAAAACATGTCTGCCCATTTAGAATAAAAAAGTGTATTGGATGTAACAGTATTTAATGATTAATCTGATCTATTTTGGATGTAACTTACATCTAGCTTGTTAATCTTGTGGCAGAGTTCTAATAACCTCTTCACTCCTATAACATTCATCTGTACTGATAATCTGAAACAATAGATGGGTTTGTCATTCACCTCTACTGATAATCTGAAACAATAGACAAATATATCATTCATCTGTACAGACAATCTGAAACAATAGATGGTTATATCATTTATCTGGTCTGATAATCTGAAACAATAGACAAATGTATTATATGACATTTATCTGTAGTGATAATCTGAAACAAAGATGAGTATACCATTCATCTGTACTGATAATCTGAAACAGTGCATGGGCAAAATATTCATCTGCACTGAACAACAGGTTGAGCTGCTGAGTAGTGTTGAGTTAATCCTTAACATGTTAAAATATTATGCCAACTCTTTACCCAGAGAGACAATGATAATCCTCAGGGGTTACCTACTAGCTGTGGCAAAGTGGCCAGATAACATGAGGGACCTTCCATTCAATGTAACATTATCACACAATTAAAACAGTGCAACTGGTACATCTCACTATTAGTATTACTCACTGTCAAGAGAGTGAATTCAGTTTTACGCCACACTCAGCAATATTCCAGCTAAATGGCGGCAGTCTGTGAATAATAAAGTTTGGACCAGACAATCCAGTGATTAACAGTATGAGCATCGATCTACACAATTGGGATACAATGACATGTGTCAACCAAGTCAGCGAGCCTGACCACCCAATCCCGTTTGTCGCCTCCTTACGATAAGCATGGGTTACTGAAGATCATTTCTAGCCCGGATCTTCACAGGACAAATGTCAAGAAGTCTCATAAACAAACAATGCATTTGTTGGGTCTTTAATAACCAATCAGACAGATTCAATTCAAAACATTGTTAATTATATGCATACAAGTACTAGTGTTGGGAATTGGTTGAAATCTCACAATTGATGATTGCTTCATTACCAACGAACAATCATCGAAAGAAATTGGTCAGCGTCATTTTTCAGATTTTCCTATCCAGGTTGTTATTGCAGAAATGTATAACATGATGCAACTTGCTACTTTAAATTGATGACTAATATATCATGAACATAAACTTCCTGGAGTCTTAGAGTAATATTCAATCATGATTTTTCAGTTAGTGAAGTGAGTTTTCTAAGAATTAAACATGTTTTCAGGCCCTGACAACTTCTAAGATATGTTTCACTGTCAAGTATTTCAAAGACTAAAACAATAGTGCCAAAATCGTTTATGTTCGATTATGAGAAAATGTGATCGATTGCTTGGTCGTTTGGTCACTGTGACCAATCTTCGATTATTTTAATTAATCGGAACACCACTAACAAGTACCCAAAAACTTAAAAGGTGCTTGCATATTTATATACACATTAAACAACCGAATAGAAAAGCAAAATTACCCCCAAATACCCTAACTAGAATTTGGCTAAACACTTTTGAGACTACTACCCAAATTTTGGCTCTCAATGTCCTTTTCAATATGATGTTATTATATGTACTACCATAAGCTGGGCTGAGCATCGATCTACAAAACTGTGATTCTCAACCAAGTCAGCAATCCTGACCACCCGATCCTGTTAGTTGCCTCCTACAAGCATGGGCTACTGAAGATCAATTCCAACCTGGATCTTCACGGGCTTTCAAGACCAAACAATGTTTCACTAGACAGGTTTCAGACAAGTGACTTTAGTCATTAACTGCAATAGGGATAAAGATATACTGAATACACAAACAAAATACAAATATGCAATGCGAATGACATCAAGTGAGCAATGGCTCAAAATATTATCGCTTACTTACTTCATTTCTTCATCAAACTTGACTGTGGCAGCTGAGTGAAAGACGACTGATACATCACGACACACTTTTTGTTCATCTTCTTCACAAATTCCAAAATTGGGTTCCATTATGTCTCCTTCCACAGCAATGACTTTTGATGCATAGTCTGGATTGACAATCTTTACCTTGTCAAATAACTGTAAGAGGAACACTGACATCAACTTCAACTTTTACACAAAAAGGGAGTGGTCTGATAGCCCAGTAGTTAAAGCATTTGCTCACCATCATGGACAACATGTTTAGATCCCCTTTCAGGAGGAATGTGTGAAGCCCAATTCTTGGAATATTGCCCAAAGTGATGTAAATTTATACTCACTCATTCTATTCTACAATAAAACATTGTTTACAACAAAAGACCTTACTGATTCTAATCCTCCTGAAAGCAATGTTGTTTTGTCCATACAGAAAAATAAGGAAAAAAAATATTCTAAAAATTGTTCATCTTTGCTGGTTGTCATGGCAAACAATTCATACCCATATTTCTTGAAGCTATAATAATTGTAACATTACTAGTGGACTCTATTCCGACTGGCTGTAGGGAATAACAAGCATTGTCACTAAGGTGACATAATCCCCCGCTGCAAATTATCAAATCAAACTTAAAAAGTAATGAAAGTTTAAGATGAAGTTAAATGTCAACAAAAAAAAGACCAATCAACCTCTTTTGATGTCTTCATCTTTAGTTGTTCAAATACAAAATATTTTCAAGACTGACTTTGACCTTGACATGAATGTCAAGGGTATGAAATATGCAAAAAGGTACAAAAGAAATTGCTTATTGAAAAACATTCAAGGGAAGTCTTGAAAGTCTATGAAGAAAATCCAGTGAATTCAGGTTAACATGCTGAAATCTTCAAAGTGTCTCAGTGACCTTGAAAAATAAGTGAAGGTCACCAAAATCGACTGGGCCTTGCACTTCCCCTAGATGAAGCTTGGTGTCAAATATGAAGCAAGTCCAGCGAATAGTCCTTGAGATATCTTGCTGACCATCTTAACATGCAGGTTAACACACTGAAATCTTCAAAGTGTCGCTGTGACCTTGAAAATTAAGTGAAGGTCACCAAAATCAACTGGGCACTGTGCCTTCCCTAGATGAAGCTGGGCATCAATATGCAGAAAATGCAGTGAATGGTTCTTGAGGTATCTCGCTGACAAGCATAACATGCAGGATAATATGCTGAAATCTTCAAAGTGTCACCATGACCTTGAAAATTAAGTGCAGGTCACCAAGATAGACTGGGCCCTGCGCCTTCCCTAGATAAAGCTTGGTGTTGAATATGAAGAATATCCAGTGAATGGTTCTTAAGATAGCTTAACATGCAGATTAACATGCTGAAATCTTCAAAGTGTCGCCATGACCTTGAAAATTATCTGAAGGTCACCAAAATCGACTGGGCCCAGCACTTTCTCTAGATAAAGCTTGGTGTCAAATACAAGATATCTCGCTGACAACAGTAAAACGTTAAAGTCCCCTTGTGTCCTTGACATGAAGGTCAAGGTCACTAAACCTGACTGGGACCTTTCTTATACTGTGATGAACCTAGGTACCAAATATGAAAAGAATCTAGTCAACGGTTCTTAAGATATTCCAATTTGTACGGACGGACGGACGGAGCCTAATACTCAGTGTTCGAAATAGCCACTGGCCCGCTAGCCCGTGGCTAGTAAAAATCCAGTCGAGCCAGTGAATCTCCTGGTCTGACTGGCTAGTAAATTTTCATGGAGTCATTTTGTAAATATACCACTCTCTCCGACTTATTAAGTTTTAAATCATGCAAGATTATCGCCTGATAAAAATGTTCATCATATCAGCAGCTTATGATGAACCCGTGTCATGACGATGATACCTTAATTTCATCTAATTTTGTCATATTTTGCTTAGTTTCTGCATTCAAATTTCAGGCTAGTGAATTTTTGTGGGCCAGTAACTTTCAGGCATAGCTATCCCGACCGGTGAGCAAAATTTGGAAAACTTTTTCGCACACTGCTAATACTATATCCCCCGCTTCGCGCTAAACGTGCGGTGGGGGATAAATAATCAAAACTGACCCTCTTCTTGCAAAAACACATTAAACACAACAAAATTCATAACAAGGGCAAATCTAGTATTCCCAGAGTATAGGTTTTTGGCACACACTGGTAAAGACATGGTCCCAAGGACATTGAACCAAGAGTGTCAACAATCTAGACTTTCTAGTCGTTTATCCAAATTCTGTATATTTCATATAACCACTAGCACGGAATCAGCTGCAGACTAGTTGGAGTGAGTGTGTGAGTGAGTTTAGTTTTACACCGCTTTTAGCAATATTCCAGCAATATCACGATGGGGGTCACCAGAAATGGGCTTCACATATGTGGGGGGATTGAACCCAGGTCTTTGGCTTGACGAGCGAATGCTTTAACCATTGGGCTACACCACCACCCCCAGACTAGTTAGACATCATATGACCATTGGTGTCCGTAGAATAAAATCACGAGACACCAAGTCTACCCGTAGCATTCGTAATTCTCCGTGACCTATTCAACTCTTTCCGTTCATTTCCGTGACGTCACAGGAATGACTCGATACATTTGCACATTGGGCAACAGTGTGGACGTAGCTCAGTCGGTTAGCTGTCGAGCTAACAATCCGAAGGTCGCGGGTTCGCGTCCCGACGGGTTCTCACAAACTGGTTGCTTGTCTTAATGACACGTGACCTACGGCAGAGATCGTCCTCACGAGAAGTTGTGGTGCTGTATTCTAAAGGTGCTCCGTATTGCATTGTTCCTCATGGCACGTTAAAAAGTTCACATGCGACTTGACAGAAACATGTGTATCATGATATGTATTATATGACTGCTGTATCGTTTCACCCAAAATCAAAACATATTCATGAGTGTTACACCTGAAAGAAAATACATTTCTTCCCAATCATATACACTATCTGTTCTAAAGCAGAAAGCATACCAACCTTTGAGTTGAGTAGACCCTCCAGACGTTGAGCAACAGACTGCCCTCTTTTGGGTCGGATGAGAACATAGCAGGACCGTATCCTGGGACATGCACGGAGCAGTTTCTCCAGGAGAACTTTCCCCATGAATCCAGTCACTCCTGTAATGAAGAGACTCCTCCCATCATAGAACTCGGTAATGGAGGGCATACCAGCCATGGTTATGTATTGAAGGCTGAATTACAGTCGTGTTTGTGCCGGTTTGTGTCTTCACGCAGGAATCAGAGTCTGAAATGAAAAAAACAACAAAACAAATTCAGCTGCGTTGAATATTAAGGAGGGTTCTGGCCTCAGAATTTTTTTTTTTCCAAAATAGTCCAGGACAAGTGGAAACACTATTTCATTAATCTTCAGAGTTTTTATATGTTCTTACAGAAATAATTCAGTTCCAATTTGAAACAAAATTGAAGCATTGAAAACTGTTTCAGAATTATAGCTCTAAATGCATTGAGCCAGCGAAGGCTAGTTGGAATTCATAAATTTGTGATAGATTAAAAAATGGTTGACAATACACATTATTGTCCTCCAATCACTACAACGGTTGCATACCGATCCTTCAAATTTCTGATTTCAGAGTAGTAAAATGCATTCGACGGTTATCACTGTGATCTTAGCTATTAATTAGTTATCAAAACATCGGATCATACCAAAAAAAGACGCACAGGGTGTTGGATGGTTTGACTCTCTTTATTGCTGTACTTTTGTATATCTTTGCCTACTCATATGATGCAATGAGAAATTGATGCATTAAATACATGGGGTTTTAATTGTACTTTTGTACAAAATTGAAATTGATACATTAAATAAAATGCCTTCATAAGGAGAAATATATACAAGGATATTATATCTATATCTGCATTCAACAAAATGAAACATTATTTCATCGACACATTTTCAGTTTGTAGGAATGTTACACACGGTCACCATACACCAAGCAAGTGTCCAACACAATCAATAATATATGACTAAAGTACGGGGCTCTCATAAGGCTAAAAACATTGAAATATTACATTTGGATTATTGTGAGCGGTTATTGGGTGTAAAAAAATCAACTTGTAATTGTATGGTTTATAACGAAGTTGGTTGTTATCCTTTGCGCTACAAACAGATGTTCAATATTGTCAAGTACTGGAGTAAGCTGCTAGGAACTGAACTATATTCTGCGTGGGGGTTATGAATATCTGTATGATGAGGTGGAAACAAATAATGTTCAGAACTGGGCCTTTCAGGTTAAGAATATTTTGACAACTCTTGGTTTTGATGATATATGGTATAAGCAAGAACTGAATGTCTCTTATCTGCCTGTAATTAAACAAAGACTCATTGATCATGCTTTTCAGTGTATTGGAAGTCAGTTGTCCAGTTTTACTAAGTGTAGATTGTACAAACATATTATTGATACTTTCACTTTGCAATGTTATCCTTCAAAAATCAATTCCTGCAATTTATACAAAATATTTGTCTAAATATCGACTATATTTTCATGTTCACAACCGATTAGGTGTACAGCTGAAGGTAAATAAAGAATTAAACTGAATTGAGTTAAAACTATTTAAGAAAACATGTAGTCTAATCCAATACAAGCCGATCCCTTAATTAATGAACTTAGACTCTCCCAGAGTGTTAACAGTCTAAAATTTGCCCGATTAGCACAGAACCACTCAAGCATGATTTGACGGATCGGCACTACTGACTGTTCAATCAGCATCAACAACTGTTGAAATTGATGTTGTTGATTAAAATGTAACATTAGAGACCATAACAACATTTTAACATTAAACTGAAAGTAATTAAGTCTAGACCAAACAATGAAGTGACTGAAGTGAGTAACAATCTCCAGCATCAGTTGACATGCCATCAAACAAGTCATCAAGCCTGATGTGTTGTTACTGCTGACCTTTTGTAACCCATAATCTCCTGGGGCATACTAAATAAGGGCAAGACATCAGTAATTACAACAAATGGCAATGATATATAATCTGTGAAACCCAGAGGTAATATTAATAAATACAACCCGAGTCGATTGATTACCTTCCTCTAGCTTTGGCAACGCAACTGTACAATCATTACTTGCTAATTGTATGTGTTACCATGATAGACATATTGCCTCTAGAACAGGGGCGGATACAGCTTTTTGAGAAAGGGGGGTGCACAGTTCATTTTCACCAGTTTTCACAAGAGTTTCAAATCAGAAGATGACATATCCCCCGGTCCCAACATATTTGAAAGAACAAAGCATCTGACAGTTACTTAAAGTCCAGCTTGATTGTTTTTTAGACTAAGACCAAATCATGAAAGATATAAATGCCAAAAATATGCAAATAGCAAAAGGCACCACTTTGGGATATGCCTCACATATCTGCCAAGTTTTGCTGAAAGATATTAGTTTTCGAGTTGTGCTCTGGAAATGAAACCCATCACTCCCTTTTGAGACTAAGTCCAAAACATTTCCATGGAAACCAAGAAAAATAAAAATGACAAAAATCTGCAAGTAGCAAGAGGCACCACTTTAGGTTCGGCTTGATATATCTGCTAAGTTCTGTTGAAAGATATTGAAAAGTTTTTGAGTTGTGTGCAGGAAACGAAGCCCACCACTCCTTTTTTAGACTAAGTCCAACATGTTTCCATGGAAACTGCGAAAATAAAAATGACCAAAATCTGTAAATAGCAAAAGGCACCACTTCAAAATCTGTCCAAGCTCTGTTGAAAAATATTGAACGGTTTTCGAGTTGTGCTCCGGTAACTAAGCCCACCCCTTCCTTTTGAGACTAAGTCTGAATCATTTCATGGAAACCGAGAAAATAATAAGTCACAATAATATGTAAATAGCAAAAGGCACCACTCTAGGTTCTGTTTGATATATCTACCATTTTTTGCAGAAAAATATTCAACAGTTTTTGAGTTATGCTCTGGAAACGAAGCCCACCCTTCCCTTTAAGACTAAGTCCAAAATGTTTCTATGGAAACCGAGAAAAATAAAAATGACAAAAATCTGTAAATAGCAAAAGGCACCACCTTAGGTTCTGTTTGATACATCTACCAATTATTGTTGAAAAATATTAACAATTTTTGAGTTATGCTCCGGAAACCAAATGATTACGGAGAGATGGACGGTCAAGGCATCGACTATATCTCCCCCAACACATTAATAATAATAAAAGCACACAATTTCTGAAACAGCCCTGACAGCATAAGAGGAAAGCCAGGAAAGTGAGGCATAAAGTGTGGTGTTATGTTGTGCAGCATATGCGGTGACCATGATGACTACAGATATACACACAGGACATAATTGTCCCACTTGAACTTTTGTGATGATTTGACCTCCTTTCCTCAGCTTCTTCTATACATACTCTAGAGAGCAAGCATTTCCACAGCACACTCCAAGGATCTCAAATATCTTACATGTAGTGAGTGAGTAAGGTTTTACACTTCTTTAAACAAGTTTTCATTAATATAGCATGGGACAAAAGAAATGGGCTTCACACACTGTACCCAAGTTGGGAATCGCTAGTCTCTTTTCATATATTTCATTAAAACAGCTTTTCCAAGAAGGAACTTGTGATTGAAAGTTGAGCATATAAATGCAACACTCACACCTGTGGAATCAATTTCTGTATGTATGAACAGTATAATGATGCCAAGTTACAATCAATTTTCACAAATGTTCCATCTGTAATAATGGAGAACTGCTCCCGACTCACCCGACTGCCTTGATTTTGAACATAATAAAATTGTTCAGTGAAACTCACACAAATATTGATTATACATGTTCAATTCAGGTTGATATCATGGTCGATAAACTAACAATAGTGAAAATTACAATCAACTAGTTGAAAGACTTTCCTGAAAGCCAGTAGTCAGGTGTGAGCAACATGTGGCTGTAAACATTTCAGTGGAGTTCTGTTACATGTTAAATTCAATAATTTCAAGGTGACTTGAAAATGGTCAAGTATTGATAGAGATTAAGCCAGCTCTTGAGCTACAATTTAACAAGTATTCAATTTACCGTTTAACCTTGTTCAACCAACTTAAGTCTACAGGAATGATACTTTCATTTACATTGCCATGATTACAGGTATCTACTACATTTGGAGCCAAAGTCCCTGACAGCATTGCATATTTTTTAACACTGCTATCTGATGCTGATCTCTCACTATTAGGGAAATTAATTCCAATCACCAGATTGTCTGAAGATTCTTAAATCACTACCCTCATCTCTTCCATCTAAAATGAGCAGAATGAGTGATGGATCTTTGTACAAACGGGTACCAAAGAAATGTGCCCAAGAAAAAATCAGAATAATTATGGCAGAGTACCCAAAATGATGGAGGACGTCCAAATTCCTCAAATCGAAACTTGCTCAAGTTGTAGAGTGTGAAGCCCATTTCTGGTGTCCGCCGTGATATTGCTGAAAAATTTCTAAAAGCGGTGTAAAACCAAACTCACTCACTCATGATGTAGACCCTGTTTACCTGATTACAAGTGCATGTTTTATAATGCTATGAGTACTGTACATCCTTCGCTGTGTATGCTGATTTTTCGCTGTGTATGCTGATTGTTTTTATAAATCATTTACGATCTCATACAAAACTCTCACTGTTCTAATCCAGAAGCTGAAGATAATCTTTTCCATGCTGATGACCCCTTCAGGCTATTTTTCAGTTTAAGTTTGGGTAATTTTTGTGAGTTGTTTACGCTCTCATATAATGTAATGTTATATAGGACATGTTATAGAGGCCATTATATATTACAACAATTCCCAGTCAAAACCTTCATTCAAAATTGATGCAACTTTACAGATTCTGTCTTTACTTCAATCCCAACTGAAAAGCATACCAGCATGAGTACCTCCAGCATAGCACCATTTGTGTTGACAGTGACCGTAAACTGAGGTTTGTCTATGATGTAATGAAATATGTATGTTGCACGTATTTGGTTACAAGTAATTTGTTCATGCATTCACGTCGGACAAACACACTTGCCACAATAATTAGATGAAAACTGTTATTGTCTAGTCTACTGATATATATGGTCTCTGGTTTCAACATGCTGATACGGGGATCTTAAAAAATGACTGTGCTTCTCTTATCAACTCCCATTTTTAGTTTAGATCTAGACATTGCCTCTTTCTTATTGTAATAAAACTTAATGCTTGATGGGTATACAATCCATAGCAAAAAAATAAATTAGAATTTGAGGGACTTTGTGCAAGATTTTATTTTTACAAGTATGATCATTATCCAACTTTTATGGTTAAAATATCAATATTATCTAAAGATAACATCAAACGAAAATATTATTTAAAAAACCATTGAAAGTCTTGCTTAACGTAAGGCAATAAACTAAAACTATTTCCCATCGCTGAACTCAGTGTCTAAGTAAGTTCTACAGCGACCTGCTGTCTTCCGCATGTTTGCACAGCTTACAGCATGGTTACCTAGACACACTGATCTCACAGGAGCATTTTTTCACCAGAAATAAACCCACCATGTTTCCACAACATTTCTAATTGACTTTACGAATAAACATATAGTTATCCTTCTATCGTCTAACTGAAAAGTAACGTGTTTGACAGGTGGACCGAATGTCAACTACACAAGCATCGAGCATCTAATCGACGCGGGCAACCTACCGGCTAGACTGTGAGGAGAGAAAAAAAAGAGTGAAACGAAAGCTACGTTTGAGAAATTGTTGCTACTTTCACTCACCTTGGTAATACTTTAAAATATCATCGATCAGTATGTCATGTTCTCGCACAGTCGTGTGATGCCGAAAATTATCACGCCTTGCTTTAGTGATCAACAGATACGGCCGGTCAACGCCCTCTGGTGCAAGAAGGGAGGTTACTCGATCGTTACCTCGATACCATTGCTGAACTATTACATAAACTGGGTTCGTTTTGATTTTAGATCGAATACTAAGAATTAAATGTCAGCAACTTTGCAAGATTTTGCACTTTAATTACAACACGTATGTAAACATAACATGTAAATAGTTATTGATCGTTTTCTGCTAATCTATTGATAGTTACTACATACACATACATACATATCCTTCACATCAAAAGTTTAGACTCACTAGTGTATAAATATAGCCGCTTACTTCAGGCAACTGTTCTAAACTAAATTTTGCCATAATAGGCCATACTGTTTAAAGGTACTGTTTACACATGAACTGATGTATTGTAAAACTTTGAATAGATTGTTGTCATGAGTTCAGTAAATGATGAAAATCAGTGATTTACACCACAACGCAGCTGTTCACATGCACGATATTTGCACATGTTTTCAGCAATTTGATGCATGGTCCTCGTGCAATTCTCCCCCAAGGTAGTGGAGAAATCAATCTTCGATGTAACCATGCATATATATATATAAACAAGTGATTTTTGCAGGTGTATAAGCAATAGATATATATAAATATGAGTCCAGGTATTTCTTCTTGCCAAATCTCCTTTATATCTGCACAAGATCATTCGCCGTTCAACGGCTCTTCAGGTGTACAATGAAAGCTATATATAGCTATATAATGAAATATATATATATATATACACACACACACACACACACACATAACATATAGTGAGTGTTTTAAGTGAGTCTAAACGTTTGAATAGAAGTATACATTTAATTAAAAATAACTATAATTTTTATGGATTTTTTAGATGCGACACTCTGCAGTATTCCAGCTGTATGACAGCGGTCTGAAAAATATTAAGTATGAGGAAGATCCAGTGACTGACACAGAGAGCATCGATCTGTGCATTCTGGATACGGTGACATGCATCAACCAAGAGAACGAATCTGACCAAAAAAGTCGGGTGGCATTAGCATAAAATACACATGGAACAAACTATCACAACGCCTTATATTTTTCATGGTATCAATATGTTGCCATTATTCATAGCAAAGAAAATTATCCAAACCTCAATTCAACTTACTATCTTGATAAACTGACCCTCTAGGAATATTTAAATGACAAATCTAATCGCAAAATGAACGGTTTACAGCAGTTTATTCCGAGAAGTAAACATGGCAAATTGACTCATTTTGTAGTGCTGATAACCATGGTCGTGTGCCGTTAACAGGTGTGGCCACTTTTAAGATTCTGGCATTCTCAAGAAATCACATAAGTGTCATTAACCGAGCACAATAGTTGACGTAACTACCGCCGACTGCAATAACACCCACCACCCCCTCCTCACTGACTGTATTAGACGTTGAATTTGACGTTGAGGTATTCAGAGATACAGATAAGATGCGTATTTGCGTAAATTACGCAAATATTTGTGAAAACGCAATTCCTATTAAGTCTTTTGCGTACAAGTACGCTTCAATTTTTGTAAATACTCAAAAGATTTGATGTTACATGAGTACAAACAAAAATAGATAAAATAACTGAGGTATATTGAGAGTTCTTATTTCAGCACTTGGACTTGGCAACTTGCAGTCTTTCTTATCGTTTCTCATATAACAGATCAAATATAAATAACAAACACGTAAACCAACATTTAAACTTTAATATATTTTTACAATCAATGGAAAATGGCAAAATACCCAATTACGTTTGAGTGCGGTGGGTACAATATATTTGGTTACTCAAAGGAAAATTAGGATACCCAAATAAGATGAACACAAGCGAGTACATAACTCAACGACCCAAAAAGCTATCTGTAGCTCTGTAGGTATTGCGTTCCATTCTTGATGGAGGTCTTGTTACAATAAATACATCAAGAAATTGTACTACAGGGTTTCTTCGACCCTCATAGCCCAAATAAGGTCTGTGACATTGAGATCTGGCCTCCTGGCGTGTCAAGATAAAGTTCCTAGGCATCTTGACATAAGAAACTAGAAAGTGTTTTTATTCGTAAAAAGAGATGTCTTCCCCTTCCCCCAATTCAACGTTGAGACCTCAAACAATTCATTTGATTCCTTCAGTTTCAAAATTTCTAAGTATGAAAATACATATTATACATGTTTTATAGTAGTACATGTATATGGGTGATGCTTCTAAGCTTACTAATAATTGGTATTGGTATTAAGTATACAAAATATAAAAAAAATCTTCAAAAAGACAAAGTCCAAATTGTTGCCATGGAAACAGATTTTTTGGGATTAAACCCCTCAAATCCCCAAAAGGCACATCTACATGATATGGAGAGGCAGTATACCAAATTTGGTGAAGATGGGTCAAATAGTTTCAGAATCTTCGTCCGGAAACGAACTTTACCATTCAAAAAGATAAAGTCCAAATCGTTGCCATGGAAACAGAAAAAAATGTGAAAAAAACTTAAACCCCCAAAAGGCACATATATATGATATGGAGAGACAGTATACCAAATTTGGTGAAGATGGGTCAAGTAGTTTTAGAGTTATGTTCCGGAAACAATGGGGACGCCGACGGAAACTCAACCAAATATCAATATGTCTTCCGACCCTTCGGGGGGAGACATAATCACCAAAGGCACGTGCACGATGTGGCTTGGCATTGATGCTCATAAAGACTGGAGTGGGGTTCAAAGGATGGTCATCGACATGTTGGAAATTCTTGGATGGAGAAGATATACTTCTACGCTTACTTAGAGCAGAACGTGAAGCAAACTTCAGTCTTCATCTGAATACTGTATGTGGAGCTATTCCTTGGTTTGTGGCTGCAGGTAGACATACATATGCCAAGTTTGTTCTAACGTTTGTATACTTAGCAGACATGAACTGCTTGAAAGACAAGGACCTGCCAGCCTACAGACATTTGGATGGAAGTGGCTTTGTAATACCAAGATCTGCAAGACACAGCTTCAATAGTGAGGCAACAGATCAAGGCCTGGAACAGATCTTCAACAGGGATGGCCAACGCAAAGGATGAGTTATTGGTCTGACACTACGCAAAGTTGCTCTTACCCGGTGGTTAAAGGCAGGGCATATTACTTCAGAATTCTCCGAATCTTTTTAAGCCTGTTTGTAGTGGTCGGAGCAGGGCTGATAAACCACACGAGGAGCTTGGAAATGTAAGACTTGTCAGCGATGAACAGGATGTCACCATGTTATCGTATGCCAGCTGCGAAAATTGTCGCTGTTGATCACAGGATTGTCTTGTCCAGACTCGATTATTTACAGACCGCCGCCATATAGCTGGAATATTGCTGAGTGCGGCGTTAAACAACCAACTAACCAACCAACATATGCCACGACTTTCATCGTTACCATACCTTGAAACATTTGTCTTTCCATGTATAATAACATTTCATACGCGACAGAAAACGTTTAACGCAGATTCTGTTTGTTGCTTGTGCGTCACCATAACTTTTGCCTTTGAGAATTTATCAGCTGCATGCGGATATCACAAAAGAGAGAATTTCCCTCTGAATCCAAAATATTTGAAGCATATTTTTGCGCATAGTGTATTCAGAGTTTCCTTCAATTTTCAAATGAGAGTTGAAGATCAAGGGCACAAATGTTCTTTCGGCGGCAAAAACATGCATGTCAGCTTATTTTCCTGCATGAATGAAAAACAGTTTTACATGTCAGACAGTGGAGAATAAGGATGCCTCGTATTTGATTCAAAGATCACATGATTTAACATTTTCAGATTTTGACATAAACTAAACCTGTACATGAGATAAAGATTTGACCAATTAAAATTTTGATGGAACATTTTTATAATTAATAATAATAGCATTACTCCCCATTATGAACTTTCAAAACAAAGATCTCATTACAACTAATTTAAACACAGCCTTGAAAACTTCACATGGAGACGAGTGATAATTAGTGATAATGGACTAATGTTGTTAAATGAACCTTGTTACAACAAGGAAAAGTGAAGGTATACACTTTTCAAAATGTATTTTTCGGCTTCTAACCCAAACAGCTGTTACGATGTGTTAAAGCCCCTTTGAACCTCTTATAGTAATTGGCTGTCTGTGTGTCAAATACATTGACACATTTTTCTGTCATTTTGTGAAATGACTGACATATTCAATATATCATTTACTTGAGTGAATCATATTTACACATTGACTGTAACATATACATCTAGAAATTTCTAATTCTTTGTTTTCATATACATGAACCCTGAACTTAGTTTTATCTCCAAGAACTATCTAAACTTTGGCCCCATTTTGATAAAGGTCTAATATACCCTCAATACCTGCTGAAAAGCAGGTACAAGAACTAAGAACCCATATGCAATGGGTCATGTCATATGCCATGTTGACTGGTTTGTTGTTTAACGCCGAACTCAGCAATATTCCACCTACATAGCGGTGGTCTGTAAATAATCGAGTCTGGACCGCACAATCCAGTGATCAACATCATGAGCATCGATCTACCCAATTGGGATACGATGACATGTGTCAACAAAGTTAGCGACCTGATTATTCACTACAACCTACAAAATGTTATTACTGAACCAACAAGAGTAACGCCCGTCTCATCGTCCTTGGTTGATCCCATTATTTTATCTGATGATTGTTCATACAAAGACGCAGGGGTCGTTGAATTAACATCAGATATTAGTGATCACAAGGGAACCTATGTCTATCTTTCAAGCTATGTAAATGTCAACAGTGCATACAAGAAACAAGTTTGGTTGTATAACAACGGTAATTATGATGCTTTAAATAATCTGATTAGGGAAACTAATTGGGAGAGTATTTTTTCTAAAACTCCAAATGTTAACGACGCTTGTGTAATATTTACTTCTCTGCTTAAGGAATATATGGTTAGATGTATCCCAACCCAGACCATTACAGTCAGCCCTAAAGACAAACCTTGGTTTGACAGTGAACTTCGGAGATAAATTAGAAAAAGACACCGTTTAAGAAAGAGAGCATTTCGAACACTGAATACTTCTGATGTATCTAAATTAAAAAAGCAGAGGAATAAAGTAAACAATCTAAAAAAATTAGCCAAGGAAAGTTTTTATTCGATTTTAGGTAGTTTTTTTATCTTCTCACTCTACTCAATCAGCAGATTATTGGAAGGTTTTTAATTATTTGTTGAAAGGTTCTACTTCATCAAGACCCATTCCCCCTCTCGTAACTGATGATTCCGGAATACCTTCAGCATTTACAGACATTGACAAAGCCCAAACGTTGAATAAATATTTTGTTTCTGTTTCCAATATCAATGATGACGGCAAGACTTTGCCACCTTTTAGCCATCGCTGTCCCTAACAGCATTACAAGCGTTAGTGTTACTGAAAAGGAAGTATCGGATATGATTAAGACTTTACCAGCAAACAAAGCTAGTGGACCTGATGGTATTAATATGAGAATGTTAAAACGAATTTGTACATCAATAGCTGAACCTCTTTGTTTACTGTATAATATTTCTCTGAGTCAGTGTGTTTTTCCTTCAGCTTGGAAAACAGGCAATAGTATCCCTATTTTCAAAAAAGGAGATAAATCCTTCCCTACTAAGTACAGACCCATAAGTTTATTATCTATCCTCGGGCAAAATTTGAAAAAATAATGTTAAAGCATTTACATAACCATTTCAATAAACATAGCATTTTAAGTAAATTTCAATCAGGTTTTACTACAAACCACTCTACCACATCTCAACTCATTGAAATCTATCACAATATATGTTCAGCTCTAGATACTCATCACCTTTATTGTATGATTTTTTGTGACATTTCAAAGGCCTTTGACAGGGTGTGGCATAAAGCGCTATTGCTCAAATTAGAAAATTATGGTGTTCGTGGGCATTTACTTAGTTGGTTAACAAACTATTTATCTGATAGACGACAGAGTGTTTCCATCAATGGTACATTATCAAAAGAATTAAATGTTACTGCAGGAGTTCCTCAAGGATCTGTCCTTGGTCCGTTTCTGTTCCTTGTGTACATCAATGATTTACCTGAAACTCTAACAAATGTCACAAGACTATTTGCCGACGACACTTCAATTGGTGTTGCAGGAAAAGATGTAAAAACCATAGAAGCTACTCTTAACTATGATTTAGCAAAATTGAATGAATGGGCTGACAAATGGTTAGTTAAGTTTAACCCGAACAAGACCAGATTCATGCTTTTTAAAAATGGAAATTGTCCACAAGTTCCTGACTTGATTTTCAATAATGAACATTTGGAACGTGTACATCAACATAAACACCTCGGTGTCATCTTTTCAGATAATACAAAGTGGCCTCATCATGTATCTGCTTTAATAGAAAAGGCCGCAAACATTGTTTCCTCATTACGGACGCTAAAGTACGTATTACCTAGATATATCCTGTCTAGTATGTACGAAATGTATATTAGGCCTATTTTAGAATATGCAACTGAGGTCCTGGATAATTGCCCTAGCTATATTTGTGATAAACTTGAAATGTTACAACTTGAAGCAGCAAGAATTGTAACCGGATTGCCTAAATTCGCTTCAAGATATAGTTTATACAGTGAAACTGGTTGGTTACCATTGAAAGTTAGACGAACACAAAGGAAACTCTGTACATTCTACAAAATTGTTAACATGCAATCTCCTGATTACCTGATAGATTTACTTCCACCCTTTACTGAAACCATTTCCGGATACAACTTGCGTAACAAATCAGATTTGGCTGTTCCTAAATTTCGCACCTCAATTCTCCAAAAGTCATTTATTTATGATTCTGCAAGTTTATGGAATGCTCTCTCCTCTACAACAAAATGTACAAATTCATTATCATCGTTTAAATCAAAGTTATCTGGAAATAATGACAAGGTTCCAAAATATTTTCTATTTGGTGAAAGAAAGACAAATATACTACACACGAAGTTAAGACATTCGTGTAGTTCATTACAAGCAGATCTGTTTCGTGTTAATCTATCAGAGAGTAGAGCTTGCAATTGTGGTGCTCCGGTGGAAGATGCTAACCATTTCTTCTTAAAATGTCCAAAATTTGTCAGTTGCCGTTTTGATCTGAAGAAAGACTTTGAACTATCAAAAGTTCAGTTAGACATTGATACCATTCTTTTCGGCAACCCTGCTCTGCCAAATACTATCAATGAAAATATCTTTAGACATGTGCATAAATACATTGTACGAAGTAAGCGCTTTAATTAATCAATAATATGTCTCAATATTATTATATCCATCCATTACGTCCAATCATTATTGTTCATTATTGTTCATGTTTCTGATGGGAGCGGGCGGTAATAAGTTACATAACTTGTGCCAAATCCATTTCAACACTGAATAAAATATGTTCAAACAAAAGTTAGCGAGCCTGACCGCCCGATCCCGTTTGTCGCCTCTTACAAGCATGGGTTACTGAAGACCCATTCTAATTAGGATCTTCCCGGGTACCATGAAAAAGCAAAGGTAGCAGCTGAAAGAGTTGACAGACAGCTATTCTAGTAACAAGTCGTTACAGTCACAGTCGTTTTAAGATTGTGCCAACGTTAAAAATTATAGTTGTACATTGATCACAATAGCAGCACAAAAATAACTTGCATGTTAAAAACAGAAGAAAGGGTAAACATAACTCAGGCGTTTTGAAGTCAGCATCTAAATATATTCCAAGATTATATACACATACATCACTCAGTAGCCGAGTGTAACTACAAAAAAGCATTGAAAACAAACATATACAAACACCAGAAAGTGTAAAACGCGTCACGTGACGTGTAGCGCAATGACGTCATAGAACAGGCCTCCGGGCGCCCATTACGTTTCTAAGGCCGCAGTGTCAACACATCATGGAACCGGCTCCGGAACCTGCGGAGATTCCGCCCAATGAGGAATCGCCGGCGCCCACAAAGCTGAGCCGCAAGGAACGGGTATGTAAGCGTTAGTGTTTGGAAGTTTGGATAGATTTGACAGAAGATTTAACTGAAAATTCTAAACGTTTCTCGGTATTGAGAATCACAGCTTGGTAAAAGTGCACGAACCTAACCGTCGCAAAAAGCTCTTGAGTTTTGTTTTCACCCAAGAATATTTTTTTCAAATAAATAGTATTTTAAAGTTTTCGCCACATGTCTAATTCTACAATACGTCGTGTGTTGAAAGTTTTGTCTTTTCAGAGGGAAGTGTAAAGAGTATCAGTGTTGTCGAATTTAAAGAGGGACTTGGCTCAGTTTATTTATAGTCATTGTCAGTCGTAGCCAAGTGATTAGTGAGTGGCCCTTGTGAAATTGAGACATTGTTTCTGTGCAATCGTTAACTGTCAGATCGGAAGAGAAAATATGAAGTTTAAAAGACTTGCGTGGACTGCCAATTTGCCCGAGCCTGGCCCCCCTTTAAAGGATTCTAAAGTTGCGATAAACTATCGACTGTTTTGTTTTGAGGAATGCGAATAGTTTATTGCTCGTTATTTTTATTTTTTTGTAATTAAACTGGATTTAATGGAAAGATTAACATATATTTGTTGAGTGTTGCGTTAAACATTCTGATATGAACTAATCCTACGTGTTGTGCATGCTTGCTGTGTTAAGTTAATTACTTGTTATCGCATGTTATCATATTCCAATGTGTGGACCGCTTGATAATCTCAAACAGAGTCGGAATAGCTGTGAAATACCTGGAATATTGCCGACTGCGACATTCAGCAGCAAACAAACTTTGTACAGACCGCCCTCGTAATGTGTGAAAGTCAGTTTGTGTCCTTAATGTGAATTACTGGGACTGTTGCTGCAGCTTCATATTTAGGGTGCATGCACACTTTTCAATTTTCTATGCGATGCGTTGCGTTGCGTTGCCTTTTTCCCCGCTAACACTAAATGGGTTTTGCTATTGCGTTTTTGCTATAGTATACCGTTGTAAACTTGTAAATACTCCTTATACATAAATACTCCTTCCGATTGATCAACATCAATTATCTACATCTGTATATTTGGCACAGAGGTTAAACATAGAAAACGTATATTTTCTAAAAGAAATACAATTTTTAGATTGCATTGTTGTTCACGGTCATGTTATGAAGAGGGAATAGTAGCTGCATCATGTCACTGAAAAAGAATTACGCTAACATTGTCTGTGAAGCGTATATCATTGGGATAGACCCCTAGTTGTAGCAAAATAATGACGTCACAAATGGAATCCCATGCGATTTCAAATGCGATGCGATGATTTCAAATAAGTGCAGAACCTATTTTTTTCACATCAGATCGCATCGCATCGCATCGCATCGCAGTGGCGCATCGGTTGTAGTGTGCGCGGTCATAGTAAAATACACGATGTGCGTTTTCTTAACGCATCGCATGAAGATCGCATAGAAAATCGGACGTAGTGTGCGTGCACCCTTCATTCACTCAATCACCATTATGTTAATGAGGGTGTTCGCTACGAGACACGACTCACAGTGAATTAAGAAAAATTGTGTTGCTACATTGAATGATGATCTCATAAACTTAGGGGTCGGTCGTCTATTTTTAGAGTGCAGGTGTTACAGAAGGAATCACACAAACATGAAGGTTACTAGAAGAGGTTAATAGAAAATATAACACATCTTGGGGAGAGTAAACAAATATCCAACAAACGTGACAAACAATATTTACAGTACACCTGTTGTTGTCCACCTTCCCCTGTTTTAAATGACCGGTCCTTAACTGACACATGTGTTTAATACTTCTACTTTCAGCCCGGACATGTATGTATACCTACAGCTTTGTAAAAAACAGATGAAACAATACAATGCTATGTCAACAAATAAGAAAGTGTACACTTCAAAACTGAATTTGACCAAAACATTACAAACGTTACCGATATGTTATCAGGCTGGAAACAACTACATCCCAATCGAATATTTTCTTTTGTAGCTGACCCGTGAAGATCCGGGGTAGAATAGGTCTTCAGCAACCCATGCTTGCCACAAAGGGCGACTATGCTTGTCGTAAGAGGCGACTAACGGGATCGGGTGGTCAGGCTCGCTGACTTGGTTGACACATGTCATCGGTTCCCAAATGCGCAGATCGATGCTCATGCTGTTGATCACTGGATTGTCTGGTCCAGACTCGATTATTGACAGACCGCCGTCATATAGCTGGAATATTGCTGAGTGCGGCGTAAAACTAAACTCACTCATTCACTTTTGTAGCCGCCCTCAGGTATAGGTGTATATTTCGCCATCCCAGCATGTTAGGTTTAGCTATTTAAGAGAAGAATTCTCCAACCTCTTTCAAGAAAACTCAAGTGAGACATTTTGTTTCCTCACATGTAGCAAGCACTTGAGTAATATTTGTTGTGTGTATCTGTGTATATATTTGTATACACTCATCATTACCGATACTGTTGCTGTTTCCTCAACCTGTAGATCGTGCGATGCTTCAAGAACCTGGCCAACTGCCTGTTCCCATGGAGACTGAGGAGAGTCGCCCCCCAAAAGTCGGCATCTGAGTCTGACTACGAAAACGAGGAGGAGAAGGAGAGTACGTCGGATACCTCCTACCTCTCTAGCCTGTTCACCATGCCCTCCCTTCTCCACACGCACACACACACCTGTCCACCCTGCCCATACGCCTGTCCACCCCATCAAGCAGTCCACCTTGCTTTCTACACCTGTCCACCCTACCCCCTAGCAGTCCATTCTGTTTCCTACACCTTATCCACCCTACTCCCTACCAGCCCACCCTGCCCCTACACCTGTCCATCCTGCCTCCTACACCTGCCCATCGTGCCTCCAAAACCTGTCAACCCTACCCCCTACCTGTCCGCCCTGCCCCTACACCTACCCAGTCCACCTTGCTTCCTACACCTGTTAACCTACCCTTAGCAGTCCACTCTGCTTCCCAAACCTGTCTATCCTACCCACTTACCAGTCCACTCTGCTACCCACACTTGTTTGTCCTACCAATACACGCTGCTCTTTACACCTATCCATCCTAACTTCTATGATCTTCTCTGAACCAACAGTAACATATATAGAGGATATTATATGAGTGCCCATGTCATACTATGTTTACGACACGAGTGCCTAAATGTTGGTATTTCCCGAGCGAGAGCGAGGGATATACCGATATTTAGGCACGAGTGTCGTAAACATAGTATGATATGGGCACGAATATAATATTCTGTTTATTACCGAAGTCGTCAAATTGAGGAAAATAACCCAAATCTACTTTCAAACATAGGCTGTCTACCCGCCGTCGCCGCCGAACGCCGCATGTAGAACGCAACGTCACAGAAGAAACGTGACGTCATAGCATTGTTCATGACGTCACGTCACCATGACAAAGTGATATTTTGCCCTAGGGCATCGTATGAAAAATATGAACCCCGATATGTTCGCCCTCGTAGGTAATAAAAAAACAATGTTATATGTTGTTGAAAACCAAGGAAAAGATTGTTCTGTTACGTTTGTTTCCATGTATTTGTTTTCATACAAACGCTGTTCTTCTACAGAATGTTTTCTTTCTTTAATATTAACATAAAAATGTTCATATACGGTTTGTTACAAAATGTTGTATATAATCATTCAAAAATGTAGAAAATGTTGTTTAAATCACGCAAAAATAACATTCATATAATTATTGTGTTTATATGCGGATTACAATTGTCTTTATGCTTCTTAGGCAATGTTCTGAGAGTTGCTGGGTATTTTAACCAGTATGTGAACACGGAGCTGTTGTGTGTGAATATTGCAGGTGTGCAAATGTGTGTTGGGAGATGTTTTGCATGTGACTATCGTTGGTGTGCAAATGTGTGGTAGTTGATATGGTGGAAGATATTTTGCATGTGTTTACTGTTTGAGTGCAAATGTGTGACAGTTAATATGTTAGGAGATATTTTGCATGTGTTTATTGCAGGTGTGCAAATGTGTGACAGTTAATATGTTAGGAGATATTTTGTATGTGTTTATTGCAGGTGTGCAAAGGTGTGACAGTTAATATGTTAGGAGATGTTTTGCCCGTGTTTATTGCAGGTGTGCAAAGGTGTGACAGTTAATATGTTGGGAGATGTTTTGTATGTTTTATTGTTGGTGTGCAAATGTGTGACAGTTATATGTTAGGATATGTTTTGTATATGTTTACTGTTGGAGTGCAAATGTTGTGTGCTCAATCGCAATGTGTTATGGTCAATGTGTTGAATGTTATTGTCTATGGTTTCCTCAATAAACTGTTGTATATAATCAAGTAAACATACATATTTAAAAGTGCAAAAGAACTATATAATTTGTTTAAAATCAAGGAAATATTTCTTTTAAGAGGAAATAACAAATCATAAAAAAATTGATATTTTGTGTTTCTTCATTATATTTACATGTATATATATGCTTAATATCTATGTAGTTTGGGATAACACACTTCTCCATATGCTTGCATTTGAATCCATGCTTTGTGTTTTAATTTTCAGCATGCTGGCAATTGGACGAAGTCATTGTGATATGCTGTAAGGTTTTTTCGTTTCTTCATTTTAATTGTATGTGTATATATATGCTTAGCATGTATGTAGTTTGGGATAACACACCACTTCCCCATTGCCTTGCATTTGATTCCATGTATGATGTTTGAATTTGCAGCACCCCTACAATAGGTCAAAGTCATTGTGATATGCAGTAAGGTTTTCCGAATACGATTATATGCATACCCAGCTGAAGGCCAAAAATAACAGCATAATTTGTTTAAAATCAAGGAAATATTCCGACTTTCGTATTTTATAACGATAATGTTTGTTAGTATTTTGTGTTTCATTGTTTCAAGTTGTGTAGGTATGTTTACTGTTGCTGTAGTATTATTCTGGATCACCTGTAGCGTTGGTATAATTGAATTGTTTTCAGTGCATATTGTCAGAATGTCAGGAGTTGTACTGAGAAAATGTACAGCAGTATATAACACTGTTCTCCAATGGTACTCTACTATTCTGCATACATTCAAGGGACATGCAATTCCTGAAGGGGAGTTATATATGATGCTCACTGAGTTACACAGTTGAACCATATGATATTTATATATGTCGGAGATCATTGGAATCTGGAGATATTTGTGAATGGTAGGATTTGTGTACATTCCGAATATTTATTTGGCAAATCTCTGTGCATTTGAGTGATACGAACTTTATAAACATTTTAATATTTGTTTGTATATGAATGCTTAACATCTATATAGTTTGGGATAACATACTTTCTCATTTACGTGCATTTTAAGTCATGCTTGGTGTTTGAAAAGTCATTGTGATATGCAGTAAGGTTTTCTGAACACGATTATATACATACTCAGAGATGGTTTGCTTGTGTTTATTGTAGGTGCTCAAATGTGTGGGGGGCAATCTTGTGAAAACTTTTGTGTGTGCATATTACCATTATGGCGATGTATGGTGGTCAATGTTTTGAATATTATCGTTTGTGCTCAAGAAATATATAATTTCTTTAAAATCAAGGAAACATTTCTAACTTGTTATGGTTCAAAAGGAAAAACAAATCCAAAACATTTTGAGTTTCTTCGTTATAAATGCTTGATATCTATGTAGTTAGGGATAAGATACATCCTCATTTACTTGCATTTGAAGCCATGCTCGGTGTTTGAATTGAATGGAGCAAAGTCATTGTGATAGGCAGTAAGGCTTTCTGAAGAAGATTATGTGTGTACTCTGGTGGATGTAAAACATCTAAAGACCAAAAATAACACTATAATTTGTTTAAAATCAAGGAAATATTTCATGTGTTTTTATCTTCCATAATAGTTAAAATTGTATTTTGTGTTTCATTGTTTTAGATTGGTGTGGATATACTTTGTATATTGTTATTATTTTGGATCACATACAG